AGCAGCTTCGCGAGAGATTAGTACAGCAGCTCCCCCAGCCTAGCCTCGCACTGGGTGTGGCGGGAAAAACGCGGAGGAATAGCTCGTCCTGCTGTTGTCACGAAATATTTGCCCCTGACTGACCCGGTCGGTCAGCCTGAGTTATCGATAAGTGTAGACACGCCTGAAGTCATGCAGGGCCTATGACCAGTGTCCTCCCCGCGTGGCCTCGGGGGGCTGGTCGGTTCACCTCCTTGGTGATGGTAAACGGAGTGGATTATTGCATACGAGGCTCTCTCTCTCTCCATCTATCTCTCTCTCCTGCCAACATCCCAACCAGGCTGATAGAAACCCCAACCTACCATATCCTAGACATGCAGATATCCAAAGGCATCCTCCCACCATGAACCACTGCTAACCAGGTGCGCTGCGTCCACAGCCCACACGGCCTGCATGCTAAGGAACACCAAACCCAATGTGACCAGTGACGCCATGCACCCCGCCAGCCACGCGGTCTTGATCGGGTTGTGCACACACGGCCGCGCTTTAACAGCCCGCGCTCCGGCCTTGAGGGTTACCCGTAGAGGCTAGACGTCCGCGCAAGGGTGGCCAAACGGCGGAACGCATTCCGCCGCTCGCTGATGATACCTCGTAGACGTCCCACGTGCGGTTGCTCCAAGCCAGCTGCAGCCGCGGTAGCGACAACGCCATCCAACGATTCACACCGCGCCGATGCCTCCTCCTCAGGGCTCATGTCCATGTCTGGGCCTCGCGCCAAACTCTCGACCGCTGGATCCGGGTCGGCTTGCTCCCCGCCTTCGCGCTGCTGCAGAGCATCAACGGCAAACGTAGCCCGGCGGCATTGTTTGTACGCCGCGGTCTCAACACCCGCGACGCAAACGCGTGAACGCGCACAGGTCCCCAAGCTCTCGTACACCTCGATACCCGACGACTTCAGCGTCGGGTTGCCGAGAATAACCACCTCATCTTTCCCAGGCACGACCGCAAACGAGGACGGGTCTACCAACACCAGCCCCCAGCTGGTGTGCAAAGCAAGCAATACACGCGGGGCAGGTTTTCTGTATCACCTCGAGCATGCGGCCGTCCGTTGCTTTCACCTTCCCCGGGTTTTGAATGCCCCACACGACCTGCACATCGGGAAAAGTAGCTTGCGGCCTTTGCGATACCTGCTGACATGGTGATGAGCCTCGCCAGAATCCAGAACCGCAACGACGTCTATGGCGGTCATGTTGGCAGCACGAGGCACACCGACAAGCCTCGCCCTACCACCGTTATGGCGTTGGTGGAAATAGTTACAAGATGCCCCACCGGAACCACACCCCTCGCGAAGAAGGCTGTTGCGCAGGCCGTTGACCGTGAGGGCGTTGATACTGCTGCGCGTGCCCCTGGGTGCGGTGCGGTTACTGCGGTTGCTGCTGCTGCTGCTGCTGGATAGAATCCACGGTCGTCGCCGGCGCCGCAAAAATGCCCCCTATGCCCAGTTGTTGTTGTTGTTTCTCACATTAGCTCTAAAGTCCACCAAAATGGGGAGCCCGTGGTCGCTAAAACCCGGCACATACGACGCCACGGGGAAGCGAAACACAAATAGGCCACAAACCACTGGGAAAAAGAAACAAAATGGTTGAAAGAAAAGAAAAGTTGCCGCACCGACCGGTCAAGAAAAGAGCGCTAGGAAAACGATCAAAATAAAAGGAGGACATGAAAAAGAAGCACAGCCCAGAGGCCGAAGGCAATACAAAGAACATACAGGGGTAAAGCATACAGCAGGGAGCGGAACAGGGCGCAACAACATCAGCCAGGTACATAGGCCGCCCTACTCGCTTCTACAGCAGTGCCCGGTCGCTGTTTCTTCCTCCCTACCGCCGCTTCCTCGACTCTCTTTCTCTTCGGTCCCGAGATGGCCGTACTCTCTGCTTACTCTCTGCTTCTGCGTCCCTCGCGAGCTGGCGCTTCGCGGACGCTTCCGCCTCCTGTCTGTGCCATTTCCTCATAAATCATGCCGCCCCGTCCTCGACCTTGTTGTGCCACGCCTCCGGGTCCTTGGCGCTCTCTTTCCATTTCCCCACTTTCTTTTGTCTCCCATGTTGAACGCCACGAGATCTTCTCCTAGACGAGACACCCAGTCGCTCTCCTGCCCGCCCCGGTATCCCCCGCCCCCCGCCATCGCTCCTAGCAGCATGCGCTTCGGGAGGCGATTGTCCTCCATGCGCATAACACTTCCCGCGAAACACAGTCTCCGTTTGCGCACGGTAACCTCAATGGTTTCCTCGCAGCCGGCCTGGATGAGGGCCTGGGCATAGGACAGGGGGCGGTCTGAGCGTTTCTGCTTGCTCCAGCCGATGCACCGTGTCAGGAACTGGCGGTGAGTCCCGTTGAGCTTCGTGTAGTGCTCCGCTGTTAGGCTCCACGAGGCGCACCCGTACAGGAGAGTCTGCACCACTGCAGCCTGAAGTAGCCGGATCTTGAGCTGGCGGTCGGCCCGTCGCCTGTCGTACATCGAAGCACTGTTCCGGCGAAAGCACTTCCACGCTCGGCAGCTGCGGCTCGTGATCTCCCGGTCGGCCTCCCCGTCCGCGCAGATGGTACTTCCGAGGTACACAAACCGATATGTTTTCTTGTACGTCTGGCGAGCGGCGCTGACCGTGAACGGGCGTCCCTCGATCCCTTTCGGCAGCATGCACATGATCTCCGTCTTTGGCTCCAATACCATTAGTCCGAACAGGCCGGCCACGCGCACGATGACCGATATCATCTTCTCGAGACTCTCTGGCGAGCGCGATACGATGGGCGCGTCGTAAGCGTAGAGCATGACCCACAGGGCCTCCGCGTCCGTCACCACCGTCGTGTTCCTCCCCGTCGACCTGCCCTTCTTGCCCATGTACTCCGCTTGTGTCCCGATCTTGACCATATCCGCCGTCACCTTGGGGTCCTTGTCGAACTCGGCCACGGCGACCATGAACATCGCGGCAAAGAACAAGTTAAGCAGCAGCGGGGCTCAGGTTGCATCCCTATCGGAGGCTTTGACCCACGTCGAACCATTCGGAGTACTGCCCGTCGTCCGTTCGGACGGGCGCCCTCATGCCCTTGTGAAAGTGGCGAATGACCACCAGCATCTTCGGGGGCAACGCCGAAGCGTCGGAGCACGTCCCACAGTAGGTCTCGGTCCACCGAATCGTATGCCTTGGTGAGGTCGACGAAGCACGCGAAGACCGCAGTTTTCTTCTTCCTCGCGAGCTCATGGAGCCGCTGGATCGCGAACAGCATGTCGAGCGTCGACCTGTGTGGACGTGTGCTGGCTGGAGGCTTTGGCTGGGAACCGCTACAGTGGACAGTTCTGCGGGGCGTGGCCTGACGTTTTGCACCGGAAACACGTAACGAGCTCGGCAGACGAAGACGCAACTGCACTGTTGCAGAGACCCATGCTCCGCTCCTACTCGAGGTATTGCGTATAGAAACGAAAGGACGAAACTCTCTAAAAGGTACGTCCATACTCGGGGCGATTTTGGCCAATTGCCCAAGACCAAATCCATAAGCCGACCTTGGATCTCACCAACCTCTCCAGCACAACCTTGCTGTCCGCCAACCGCCCGCTTGCCAGCAGCGGAAAGTCTCTGGGTCATCGCGCCGTACGATGCCTGGGCAGATCAAGATAGAATCTCCACGAGAGACAGGGCAGCAGTTCCCCCAGCCTAGCCTCGAACTCAGCGAAGCGGGAAGAATTTCTCACGGAGCGGAGCGGTATTTTTGCTCATGTCACGGAGCGCGGAGCGAATTTATTCATTGGATAACCGCTCTGCTCCGTCAACAACCCTGGTTTTTTTCCCTTCACAGGGAGGGAGCGTCTATGTGTCTCGCGCACATACTTGCCTGTCTTGGGGAGGTTTTGGAAGCTGCCCGCGGGTACAAATGTGGGTGTTGATACTAGGGCAATATGACAGTTCATGGCGAGTTAGTTATCTTTGGACACTTGCTCTGTCGTGTTATTGGGCTGTAAACACCATGATGGTAAGTACTGCTGTGCTCGCTGGCCGTTATTGGGTCCAATGGTTGTGATTGCTGCCCCCACTTGTTTTGCCCACACGTGCTCTGCTGCTTCGGCATTAGAGTGTACCAGTATGCATTAGCGCTTGTATCACTTTATTGTAGGTTAACCCGATGCGTTATTTACTCATAATCCGATTTCACAAGTTTCCTATAGGAGTATTTGACCTACACAAGATAGAACACACAATGTGGTAGGTGCACTGGGCTATATTTTGGAGAAGCATACAATAAACTTCAGGGAAAGCGCGTCCCCTACCGACTGAAAATGCGCCAAGCCTCCATGTCTCTAAAAGAACGACTCGGGCGCACGCGCGGCACAAAGGTAGGATAGAGGAGGCGAAAGGCACAGCAACCATCTCTACCGTCGGTATTTTCAATACGCATCTCTCCATTTCTTACTGAAAAGTGGGGACAACCGTTTTCCATGACGGTACACTCAAAAATAACTACGCGCCGTGCGTCTTCTTATTATCCTAGGACCAAACACCGAGAATGAAGGCAATACCGAGCGGGCCGCTACAAGAACAGCAGCACGGCAGCAGCAGTACAAACTGCGATCTTTTCGTAGCATTGTCATCATCAGCAGCAAACAACAGATCATCAGCGGTTTGCCGTTTTCTTCCCTCTCGGCGAAACCATATACTGAGTACCACTTTCATTTCGAAATATTAAAATTAGCGCAGTTAGTTGTCGTATCATGTTGTTGATGTTTGCTGAAAGTTTGTGGTCGTCCTTGACCTGACCGCCTTGCTTGACAACAGGAGAGCGGAGGAGGCGAGTCTAACGAGCCAGCCCTATTTCTTTCACAACCAACCCACCCCGGCTAACGCCAGATAGAGAGAAAAGTACCGACCCAACGATATTATTCCAACGGAGTAACTCTTCTGCTTTGTAATGATAAAACGTACGTGGACCAGCAACTGTTGTTATTTCGTTCGGGTCTGCGACCCACCAATCAGTCCCCGTAACCACGCCTTTTTCAGCCTGAGTAATTCACGATCCCTCTTTCAACAGATACCACTGATACTAAGATAGAACAACGTGCTCACTGGCAGCGCATACACTCTCATATCCCTTCGCCCTTCGCCCGAAAACGAAGGATCGACTGTTACGTACCCGTGCCCTGTACCATGGCCCTATCGCAAGGACAGCATCCCCTAACCCGTTTTCGGCGAAAACTCGTGTGCTGCATTGGGCATGACCTGCTTAACGCCACGAGGTACCTAAACCCAACCTCAACATCCTCCGTAATCGTCAATTCCAAATCGTACAAAAACACACTTCCTAATTCGTGCTTTAGTGACGAAAGTATGAAGTTGCGAAATAGGATATATGCAGGAAGTTTCGTGGCGCGCTGGTCAAAATCAGCGATATACAGCGAAAACAGTAAAACTGGTCGTCGTAGCAAAAAATACAGATTGGGTGGACCTCTGAATATTATTCAATCCAAACCCACCCATGTGAATGCCAGCTTTCAGTTCCGCCTGCGCCTGATACCAAAAAACTCAACTCTATTCAAGGTTATCTCAAGCTGGCTTCTCCCGATGAAACCTGCGTTATCTCGTCTCCGCACGTGGTTGCTCCTGTCGTCCCATCTTCCTTCTTTTGGGCTCTGGTGCTGAAACGCGTCAAGAAAAGTGGGGCGTGTACTCATTATTTTACGTTTCCCTTTCGAGACAGGCTACCGTCAACATTTAGGCGCTCCTAGCGTACCTTGTACCAAAAAGTATTGCGTATCTTATCTGATAAGGGGTGTCGTGGCCACTTTAGTTCGTAGGTCCACGTTTCTTCGCAACTTTACAGATTCCTAACGTTTTCCCTGTTTCCATATCGTCCTTGACCCATGTCTCTACCCAGGAGGGGGAGGGTCCGTCCTCACGTCATTTTCTACACAATAATAAAAACGGGACGGTTTTTATCCCACCAGCTGGCATCAAGGCCGCTAGCTCCCTTTGAAGGGCAGCTCGTACTGCGAACTTTTACTCGACTCTTTTCAACTTTCGAGATCTTCACTACGATCTATTACACCACCCAGAGTGCTGAAGGTCGGGAGGATTATGATTCCCGGTGAGCTTCAAAGTACACGCTTCAAAGAACGCTCGTTCATGGATGCTACACTACAAACCGTTAATGTACTACATGAAGGCATGCACCTCGAGGAATTATCTCGCGACGCCGGGTGGGACCGGCCGGTCCTACACTGTACAGAGGCAACGAAGGATAGGGAAAAGCTGTGAGCAACGAAACGATGGCAACATGAAAGGGTGATGGGAACACTATCACCTTTCGGGGGGCTTTCTACAACATCTCTTGAGTGGGTTGCCTTGCGTTAATGCCATGAAGATCATATCAGGTTCGCGGAGTCTGGCTGTCATCATACACAGGAAGTTTGCAGCCACAGATATGCATGAGGTAGTGGCAAGATCGTGATGACGCCAAAGCATCACGCATGGGTGAGAACTGAGCGCTTCACCACTTCTTTTCCAATATTCCCAAAACCTCTGTCCCGCGAAGAATGTCCAATGTGCCAGTCACTTTGCACGTTTGCGATGGTTGACCGAGTGTCCTCACAAGCATTGGGTCCATTCAAGACGACCGATAACCGTTTTCCGAGGTGTGACCACACTACACCGGTGCAACCGCAACATGTCCCCTGGCTGTCCCTTGCAGCTCGCAATATTCAAAAAACATGCCAGAATATACAAACTTCGGACCACTTGATAAACGTGGGGTGATGAACCAAACTAGTCTTGGTTGTGCTGTATGAAGAACATGGGCTTCTTACCTTTAACGTTCTGCCTAGAATAGAATTGCTTGAAGAGTGCAATTGCTTCGTCCGCCAGAAGTCCTGAATGGCACGGGTACGTGTGACCTGATATCGGTAGACTTCAAAAATTCAAACAAAGCAGGACGTCAGGTCAGCGTCACTTGGCCAAACAGGATCAGATTGAATGAATGTACTAATGCCACTTGTCCCTTACAACCGCCCATAGCCAGGCACGACCCCTCGGCGTGATTCACCTACGGCAGCACGTACAACCTTGATGTGAGGTCCTCAACCGTCAAACTGTTCGGTTGATTAGAAACCCGTTGCCCAGCTATCTTTGAAACTGTTTTTCACAAAGCAGACATTATGATCGAAGTGGAATTGCTCAGCAATACCGGTGAACCTATTCAGAAGATGCACGGTCGTTACCTGCCGTCATGAACACTGAGCACAGACCCACAGCCTCCAAATCGGTCATTACTGCAACCGAACACGACTGTCTTGATCTTCACATCGCGCAGTGCTGCCGCACACATGATGCACGGCTCACATGTAACAAACCTTAGCAGACGAACCGAGAGAGACAACCACGCGGGGACCAACACGGGGAGCTAGCCTATATGAGTATACTGTATACCAGTATATGACCTGCTTTTGGCACCCTTGGGAACCCGAAAGTCATTGTGCGCTACCACCTTACACTGAGAGGCATAGTGTCAGTCTGCTGACAGGTCAGATAGAACCTTTTCTCCCGCTGCGGAACGGCGTTGCTCATGAACACGATCGGCAAACATGGTTGTACGGGTGCAAAGACACATCCTGAGCATGAATGTGTGCTCAACAGCCACATCCTACTAGGCTGCCCTGGTGAGGTCACAGACTTCCTCTGCCAAACCGAGGAAGCGCCTGAATTTGTGAGTTACCGCTACTGCGACCATACGACTTCTGCACCGGATTCCACGACGAAAAAGGGATATTTCCAATAGTCGCTGCCAGCAAAAACGCCTCACATACAAGACCTTTGATTCTAGATGCTAAGTGGACATCTAGCGCTGCGGCACCGGCAGTAACACTGTGATGATGAACTCGTGCTTAAGCTGCAGTAGTACAAGGAAAATTCTTATATTCTTATAGACTATACTCACAGGTCACATTCTCTTAATAGGGAGAGATCGGTCTGTGCTCGTAGAATGCCGTCGATCGCCACAAGTTCAGCATGTCGGGTAGCCTGTTGGGAAACGACATCAAAACGGTCTTGCCAGACTTCGAGCGCACTGACTGATCATTTGAGTCATCACTCGGATTTCTAACTTCGGTCTAGTCTACGATTGACGTGATACCCGAACCCGACATGCAGAGAGGAAGGTGCATTGCATACCTGCCGAGAGAGACATATCCCCAACGCAACCAAGAGCACAGATTAACTCGCAACACTGCGGTTTAATTCCTACAAAACTTTTTTCAGTTCATCTAGCATTGACACACATCAGTGCACTTGCTCGTGAACACTGGTACGCACACGTCCATCCATACCTACCCCCACCTTACCTCGTACAACAAGAATATCAGCAGCTACCGCGCCGTACGTGCTTGTCAGGCGCGTGATAATCTCGTCTTGGTGTGTGTACGCATCTCGCAGGAACGCTAGCCCAAAATACTTTGGGTGGGTGGGCAAAGGAGTACCGACATGAAAAAATAGCAGCTAGAGCCCTTCGGAAGGCGCTCACTCTACCAGGTGGTTTGAAAGGTAATGGAAAATAGGCCGTGGGAGGTCAAGGTTACCAAATGACTGTACGCCTACTAGTTCTGCCGGCAATTGCACACTCAATCGGGGAAATCCTTCTCGTCCCAACGAGAGGCCACCAGCCTGTCGCTGGTCGTCAAGCCTCGTGGGTCTAGACAGTTGACAGAGCTCCATTTGCTCCCTACAAGGAACTACACAACGAGGCGAAACGGAACGAGGATTCGGATCATCCAGCGTGGTCGTTGGCGACTGGGCTACATAGTCTCAGTCAGGACAAACGGTATGCTACAAATATGTCGGGGGGTGCATGGGCGATATGATAGCATATGGCTGCAGGATGCGATGTGATACGAAGAGGCGTTTGAGGGAATGTATCACGCAGCAGAAACAGGAACGATGGGTATCAGAGTATTCACGAATGCCAGCCATGACGTGCTAGTATCGTTCTTGCCGTGGAAACGTAGCGGGCCATCATGCAAAAACAATCAGGCACATATAAAGGATAGGATGTCATTGGGTGGCCTACACGCGGTGAAAGCACACAACCGACAGTATGTGGGACGATCCTCACGTTAAAGGCTTCGCTAGTCTCGTTGTGGCCACAGCTGATAATCCGCGCGGTAGGCTTATGCACAACGACGCAGCCCACCGGAACCTCTCCTTTGCTCAGAGCCATCTCCGCCTGATGAAGAAAAACAGGTTAAAGCGTGGTATCATCAATGGGAAGCCTGTGGAGACGATTCACTCCCTCCCGTCAAGCAAAACGCTCTGGACACCGCGAATCGGTCAAAAATAGTGTTAGCTCACCAATGTGGAATTCTCAGTGCCCCCGTAATGGCGAACGGCACAGGGAAACGTGAGGAATACTCTCCCTCGGGGTCAGTCTCCGACCGCATACTCGTATACATACCTTTAGGAGAGAGAGAGCTTGAGCGAAGAATGTATTTTGTTAAAGGTTCCGAAATCAGATTGCTTCTGGTTTTAGCTTTTCTCGTCCCCAACCGAACGCCACAACATTGACCAACCGGCGTTGTGCGATGTGTTCAACGCATCTGCAGCCGAAATAAGCAACTGTCGCAACCCAGAAGAAATATTGCAGGGGTTTGTGAACAGGAGAGTCGAGGAGAGTCCAGACGGCAGCACCGACAGCAGTGCTAGCCAGCATTCTAACGGCAGGGGCATGTTGTTGGACGAATCCTAGCTGCTGGAACGACCCAGAGAAAACCATTTGTAAGCAAATGTAGAGATCCGCGCTTTTTGTAGCCCAAAAACATGTTGATCCACGCGAACGTGAACTCGCTTTGTTTGCCAAAGTGGTGTCACCGAACGTGGTAAAAAAATAACCGGAGGGGCTATTGGGAGCTTGCAACGTACACACGTCAAGCGATGTGCACGTATAGCATGCGAAGAGTGTAGTACCAAAACAATAGGAGAAAAAAACAACGCGTCATTGCCGCATGCGACAGGAGGCTTGCAGCGAGCAAACATATTCACACATCGCTGTCTCGCATAGTGCCATGCACAGCAAGCAAGGTTGCTGTCTCTGCAAGCTGCTTCTCCGTGTTCAAGCGACGTGCACGAAGCAATTGCCTCCACGCGAGGGTGCGGGAGGAGAGCAGTAGGAGCAGAAGCGGTGCAACAGCAGCTGAAAAACGTCCGTAGCAGAAACAACAACACGTCATCGTGACGCGTCGTGACAGAATATGCTCGCCATTCCTGCCCGGCAAGCTGCCTCGTTCACTGCCTCTGTACGTCCCTCTTTTTCTGGCTCTGTGCACCCCCCCCCCACCCCTCTCTCTGTCTCTTTTTCCTCTCCTCCCATGTGCTAACTTGCGGAGGATTGTGACGTGAATCACGGTCGGTCGCTGATGCACTTTGTATTGACGTTGTTGATACTTTTTGCTGACATGATTCTGGTTCTCTCACTCTATGTTCCTCGTCAGTTCGCGTTGCCCTTTCCAGACTTCTATCTCAGCCACTGGCGTTCTGTTTCAACCATTGACATAATCCAACAGCTGTCCAAAGTACTACCATACCAACCTCTTTGGTACGCTTGCTACGATTTCACGGACGGTTCGAAACGCTTTGGTAAGCCAGGTATCATTCCATACCTTCCCAACCTCTTTGTCACGTTCGGTGCGCTCGCGGTACAACACCCTGGTGCCAGGTATGGCTTTGTTCTTATACCCTGGGTCGGGTACGGGTACAACGTCGCGCACCCTACCAACTTCTCGGGTACGCTTGATACGAAATCACGTGCTTATTACACTCTTTGGCAAGGTCGGTACACCCGTGGTAGAATGCACGGGGCACCAGGTGCCTGGTCCGGCCTTGGTCAAGTACCCGGCGTCGTGCGGGCAATGTCAGTCTTGTTGATACATGTCGGCCAGCGACACTTACTACTGGACTTTTCAAATTTCATGCAGCGCGGGAATTCTCTGGCGGCATTTCAAGGAACTTTCATGCAAGGCGCGAGTGCCAATATACATAATATCATGGTGCATATGCTGGTGCATTAAATGCCGTAAACAACGAGCTGTAGTAGTATGGTGCTCGCGCAGACAAACGTGATGCTGCTACATTCGACACAACAAGAGAGAGAAGACATCGTCTTGGTAAAGGGTGCCGGGAGAAGCGTGAGAGTAATCGTCCCCTAAGTCTGTTGTCTCGAAATCCGGTGAGGTGTAGCAGGATTCGGGCACTACCACATTCGGTACGCCTGCAGCAGAATACCCTGTACCTTACCGGGTACGCCCTTGGTGAAATACCCGGAGTCGGGTATGGGCACGGGTGCAACGTCGCGTACCTAGCCAAACATAACCTTGCCAGATTCTTTGGCAAGTCCGGTACGACTTTCCGTGTATTACCCGTACGTTACCAAATGAACCTGTGCCTTCGGTAACCTAACCTTGGAAAAGTTGAAAACTCAAATCCGCTAAAACACACACCAGTGAGCCCCCAACTCAATCTGAACACTGATATTACGGAAGAAAGCAGCGAGGATAACGCAAGGTGCATTAGACAGTATGTATCAGGGAGTGCACTTTCATATTTCTTGTTTGGTTTTTAAGGGAGGCATCTACAAGCAGTACTGTATACTACATATAAGAGTCTGCGCATAGCGGCACGCTGAATAACAGCGGAACTGCCTACTGCTGAACACGCTTGTCACCGGTGCAACCCAGCTTTACCAGGTAGTGATTTACTGAAGTTCCGCAATAAATAAAAAGCGGGTCTACGTAGTTTTTGTTGTTTGGATATTGTCGTCCTGTTCAAAAAGCCTGAAAACGTTGATCAAGTGTCGGTCTAAGTAAATCAAGCTGAGGCGACCGACAGCAAGTTGCTCTTGTTGTTGTCTTCACATTATAAAGCGTTCCGTTTCTCTACCCGAACCTTCTTCTATCCGTTCCTAGTCAAACACTTGACGCGGTCGATTCCTGTGGTCACTGCTGTGTACATATTCACACGTCGAAGTACTTTGTGTTACGAAGAACTAACCTCCTTCAGGGCTAACCTCATGTACACCGCGTTTTGTTCGTCTGATGAAGCCACTCCACCATCGGATGCCATCGCGTGGACAGCCGCGAAGCGCGAAGCGCGAAGCGGGACGGGAACAGATGCACAGATGACATGATGACATGTCGAACTGAGACTGTCAGCATTTCAAATATTGAACCAATCGCAATGTAGCACCGTGGGGCAGGGGACAGACTCGAAACTTCAATTGTTTTACAGGCGCGGCACCCCCTCGGTCGTTGCATCGTTGCACTTCCTGCTTCTCCCCTTTTTCGCTCTTGCTCGCCCCGTGCCTCTGTCTCTCCGTTGACACAGACTGCACAGGCTCGTGCTCAAAGATATGGACACTGTCGCAGCTGAATTCGGCAAAGGAAAATCTCTGTACGACATCCTGGACATACCCCCTACAGCGACCGCAGGGGTTATCAAGAAGGCGTATTTCAAGCTCGCCCTCAAATGTGTAAGTTCTCATTTCAAAATTTTATTATGTGCCACAGCAGTACCAGTCCATGGTTGTAGTCCCACCTGGCCGTCGTACTGCTGCGTTACTCAGAAACACGTGGTGTGTGCTCTTGCTGATTTGCCGGAGGTCGCTTGGTTATTATTTGGGCAGAAATGGTGTGCTTTTGTATCTCCCCGTCTTGCGCAGCACCCAGACAAATGCCCCGGAGATGACGCCGCGAAAGGCCGTTTCCAGGCGCTGTCGTTGGTCCATTCCGTCTTGTCCGACCCTGAACGACGAAGCCTCTACGACGAAACAGGAGATATCGCAGAGGAAGGGCAGGACGACAAAGCAGAAGGCGAAGAATTGTGGTGAGGGAAATGCGAAGGATCTATTGGTGACTAGGGATGGCAGAGTATGCGATAGTCGGACATGTCCCTAGTTTTACTGCTGTACTTGGCTGTACGAGTTCGTAGACCTGTTATTAATAGCATGGTACCTAGGAGTTACGGCAGTAGTCGGGGCTCTCTGGATACGCCGGGTGACTGAACACCACTTGTGAATCATACAGTCAGTATAGAATTTACAAAAATCACCAGAGCGGTGGTGGGCGGTGGTGTACTATGTAAGAAAATAGCAGAAGCATTGAAAAACAAGATCCCATGCATATACTAGACGCCAGAAATATTGGCTAGACTACATACATTTGGTACGTTTGTACTTGTATTGTATTCAACTGGCACTTCCGCCGATGTCGAAACCAATCACGAAATGGTACATAGTGTTTGCAAGATTAAATAAATAGCAGCTAGACTGCATTTTTAGTCTCATAGCGGAACAAAACCTACGAATACAGCAGTTATTAGTCCGCAGGTGTGCGTGCCATGCGTCAAGCTAATGCTCATCCCCATTCCCGTATCCCCGGAATTTCTCCTTCCTCGTGAACCACGCGTCGGCCTTGATAAAAGGTCGCAATACTGGCGCACCTTATTTCCGAAGATCACCGTCGCCGATATCGAGTCATTCGGCAATAAATACCAGGTGCGAACCTGTAGAGATGTACTAACAGTAACGTGTGTGGGATGTATGTGTTGGTCTGTGGGGCAGCGGGTTGTCGAACTTCAAATGCACAGACGAATTGGCGGCTTTCCGTCGGACGAGGGTCGATTCAAAGTGTCACATGCATAGACATCGTGTCAGTACCGCACAGAGGCCATGTACGCGTTTAGTGTGTGCTTCTCGGGAGCGATAGCTCCCCATGTGGTGTGAGTTAATACAGCAGTAGTTGAGCAGTGTTTCACGTCACATGCTGTGGTGGAGGAAATGTGCGCCCGAGCGTATCTAGTGGCGAAGTTGCGACGTGATAGCTGGCCTGCATGACACGCAGTGAAATCGGTGCTGATTCAGCCACATGGTACCAAGGAATGTATACAACCCGCACAACAGAAGTACATGTGTGTGTGTTTTTATTATTTTTAATAACATCGACCGCGCTAACCGGCTGACCAATGAAAAGACGTCAGTCTTAGCGCGGTTGAAAACACAAAACACTTCTATCTGCCATGAACTGGGATCCCGTGAGGGGGCAGCATGGGGGAGACTACAACTATCCTTCGGATCAAAGACAGAAACGGCAGCAACAGAAGAAAACTGGACGCGTCTACCAAGGCTATCACCTTGTACTCTAGTTCGTTTAGGAGTACTTTCACCATTATCCTCCTTGTTTTCGCTACCATCATTCTGATCATAATTTTGACAAAAATCTCTGGGCAGTTCTTCCCTAGCCCTGCGTTTTTTGTGTTGGGGAAGGTCGTCTGGCTCAAACCCTTTGCTCTCTTCCACTCCTCCATGTTTTCCTCCTCCATCGTCGTCCTCGTCCTCCTTTCTTCCCTTTCCTTTTCCTTCGTCTCCGTCATTCCCTAAAATAATTACAATAATTACCTCCATTACTATCGTTGTCGCAGAGATCCCAACCTATTGGCCGTGGCGGAATTCGGTCGATCAGTAGCCCATGACGTTTGAAAACATCGCGAGTTCGCATCGACAGAAAAACGAGCTAGCTCGAAGGTACCGTCTCCGAATCCTGTTAGCATGAAAAGCTTTCAGGCGAACTAAGGCTCTTTCGTCGTCAAAATTCCCTCGGCAAAAAGCTTCGTGCGCCAAGTGGTTGGCGATAGCAACGATGAGTCGATTGGTGCCTTTGACACGTTGAAAAAGCAGCAAGGAGGGTAGACCTAGACGGGTTGAAAGTTCCCGCATAGTGATTTGCCTTACTTGCAGCTCGATCTTCGAGGGCGGATCCTGGCCTTTGGATCGACTTGTCGATGCTTCGACCTGCGGATGGGTTGACGATTGTTAACGTCTGTAAGAATGGACTCGGTGCAGAGTTCGTCTTCCTTCTCTCGTGCGTGTAATCCTGGGGGGATTACCAAATCCATCTTGTATAGCCCCTTTCCCCCACCTGTGCCTGTGGTAAAAGGGGAAGAATCCTCAACGGCGATGGGCATATGGCACTCGCGCAGTGTCTTGAGGACTACTCGAACCATCCTGTCATGGAGGAAGGTTGAGGCGCCGGTCTTGGTGCAGACGAGGGAGTGCGCTCGGCTCAAGCGGTCCTTGCATGGTAGCAATGCACCTGCACCACAAAGTTTCCCTGTGTCGCAGTCTGCTCGATCGGGGCTCCCCAGTACACGACCGATTGACTCCCGATATAGATCAGGCATCATTATTTCATCTGCTGACAACCCTTGCGTTGTCAACCACGACAAAACTCCCTTGCCTTTCGCTTCCTCCAAGCGGATCAATGCTCTCTTCTTTGACGTTTCCTCGCCTGCTACCTTCTGCAAGTCTGTCTCCACCATGTGACGCACTGCTGCATGAAAAGGTTTCGAAAGCAGAGCTTGGGCTCCAAAGACTTGGTAGTGTTGACCAAACTCATTTCGGCTGTAGGTGTGTGTGCGTTGTGTGTGTGTTTTCGTCCTACTTTTTGGCGACTGGCGACTGTCCCCCCATTTTCGTGGTGAGACGTGTACTACAATCTGTATGTATGTAGAGACTACACTTTTCAGTGTATTTTTTCGTACAACTACAACCATCCAGGGTCACACAAAGAGGGGGTAAACACCGGGACTTTTTTGTTTCCTTTTTCTTTTTCTTTTCGTGCCCCACCTTCCTCCTGCGGTGCGCAATGGTTTTTGTTTTGTTTTATCGCGAGAAGGGTCCAGCCGTCCCTTTCCCTCGTCGACGGTGCTAGCGTCGAAGTTTGGTACTAACGAGAGCTTTTTCGCTCACCCGCAAAGTCGTAAATTTTTCACCCCGTGGGAACATATACATGTGATTTTTGAACGCCGCTTCGTCCGGCGGTGTACTGCATGAATTTTCTTTGCAGGGCTCCGACGAGGAGAAGCGGGATGTACTGGGAGCGTACAAGAAACACAAGGGGAAGATGGCCGCGGTTATGGATTCGACAATGCTCGCATCAGCAGCGGATGAGGATAGGTTTAGAGCTATGATCGACGCAGCGATCGAATCCAAAGAGGTTTCTGCATTCGCAGCATATCGGAAAGGAGCAAAAGCGGGTGTGGGATCTAAGGAATCGACAAAGAAACGCCAGGCCAAGATCGACAGGGTAAAACTCACAAAACCAAAGTGTCACACGCGCGTAGGTGCAAATTGTTTGAGTGTTTAGTGTAGCTACACTTGCCGATTTAGCAATTGTCTTCCCCATTTATTCCGGACGTGGTCTTACACACCTTTCGTTACAACTCCTGGACCCACCAGCCGGGGTCTTGCAGGAGGAAGGACACACAGGATTTTTTTTTCTCCATCTTCCTTCTTCGGTGCTCAACCATGATTTTTAGCAAGAAAATGATTCACCCGTCCTTTCCCTCGTCGACCATGAAGTGGGTTTTTGTGGTACACACGAAGTTATTGCTTTCCACATTGTTGGGCATATTGTGAGAAAAAAATCCAGTTTGCGTGACTTCACCGAGCTCCGAATCACGTCCAAAACATCGAAAGTTGTGAGGTTAACAACTGAACCACCCAGCCACACGAACGATACAAGAATGAATGCGATGATCTCTGCGGCTGGCTCATGTGCAGCATGTTTGCGCCTCTCCTCTTTGACGAATCAATAGGAGGCTGCGGAGGCCGAGGAGCTGATGACAATGATAAAAGGGCGCAATACGGACAAGGCGGCTGCATCGTTGTCGACTCACCGTGGAAAGGAGTTCAACAACTTGGTGAGACACGGCAAAGACTGGCTTGCATTCTAGGTCAACGACATGTTACAAGTAGACACGACGCCGTGGTAGTTCGCATCCCTGTTGTCCTTTGCAAATATGCCATAACATTGGACTGACGAAATGCTCCTGCGATACTCCTACATATTCCTGGACAGGTTGCATTCAAATATCGGGCACGGGCTGTTTCCGGAGACTGTTGGTGTCATATTTTGATATGTTGCATACCGAGCAGTCGCGCGCGTTACGTCTCTTGGGGAAGGTGAACAAACGCATCTGGGCAAGTTGAGTTAAAATTGTCGTGCAACACGTGCGGCGTACGTTTTCGCTCCCATCAAAAGGTTTCCTCGCTTGAAGCACGGTACGGCGGTGGGACAACGGGTGGCAACTCACGAACAGAGGGCCGGAAGGGAACCAAACGCACTAAGAAGGGGTCTCCTCTCGATCTTGATGACGCGGAGTTTGAGCGCATCCAAAAGCAGTTCAAGGGAGGACGCTCGAAGCGATAAAGATTGTTGCACGTAAAATTCCTTGCTGTAAATTTGGAACATATATAATGTAGCCCCCAGATGCTTCCCAGAGACTGAAACGAGCGTCTTTTTTCTTGACGGAGTCATTGCGGAATGAAAGGCGGCACGTCTCCCCTGTACAATGCGAGAGACCGTACTGCCGCCGCTGCTGCCGGAAACTGCCTTCATCTCCTTGGATCCTAAATAAATGTCGCTTCGCATTATACACAGCTTTTTCTGCGGGGCGTTCAGTTTTCAAGTCCTGGATACTTCAGACCGTCAGCGCTTGCTGTACTCTGGCCAGACGGACTCGGCCAAGCGTCACAGGCACTACTGCTTGCTTCGCCTTGTTAGAAGCGAAACGTGTGCCGGAAGGTAACCGTAGCCGTGCAACACGTACGCCGGCGGCAGCCCCCTGGTTGGTCGCCAACTTAGCCTCTCCTGCAAATGCGCTCGAACCTGCACGTGCGGGTAGTAACGATACGAGGACACGACAACAGCATGCATCGGCTCACATGCGAACCATGTCAAACGTTTTGGAGCTGGTACATGGTACTGACGCGCGAGCAAGACTGCTATCGGGTGCCATGTACTTGCGTGGACATGCTCCCGACATGACGTACACCTGAATCACATTGGATTCGCTACACAGCGATCATCGATGCGCACTCACCCCCAGGGCCAAAGCCAAGTAGAGATGTCACAGCTTTCGCTGCCCGCCCCTGGCCTTCTCTCCACTCCTTTTCCAGCCGAGCGTTTAGCGCTTGCTGCTCTTGCCATGTTACACTCGCCGACGAGGACGTACCTTCCCCGTTGTCAGCCTTGGGAATACCGTCACGTGCGACATGGGCAACCCCGCCACCGCCAGACGGCACCTCAACCCTTGCTGCACCTTTGACCCCGACGACACGAGGTGGTTCACGAACAGCTGCGAGTTTCTTGGAGAGGTTGAGCAGCTCTCTGATAGAACCCTCCGCGCGGCTGGATAGTGCTGATTTCTGGTCGGTCATGGTCCCATCCTGTGTAGAAATGTAGAAATGATGCAAACAAGTACCTGAGAATCAGCGCTGCCCATTCGCCACATTGAAGCAATTTCTACAACCCCTGTAGCATATTTACCCCACGACTCAACTCAGGGAAGTTGATATGTAGGGCGAACAGACGAAGAAATGCGCAACCAGCACACTTCCTACCATTTGATTCATAGCTTTCTCACGTGTGCAGGCGAAGATTGCGGGCATCCCCCTTGTGCAGGAGACAGGTGAGGCAGGGGCTTGAGACCCGCGAGGACAGACGTAAAGACCCTTCCACGCCACCTGCTTGAATGCAGCCAGATTTTGATCACGCCGAGCCTTACCAACAATTGACAAGCAATGTTTTAGTGCTCTCAACACGGTAGGTTGCATGAAAATACCAAATGTCACGTTGTGACGTAAGATACAACATCGGAGTTAAAAGCTGCATATTATCCTAGGAGCCCCCACCTCTCACACGTGGTATGTGATGGGCGATGCGATGTTGTCACGCATACACCCACATCTACACAGCCTGAACACCGCAAACTAGGCAATTGAGTGTAACACCGCTTAAACAGTACGGTGAGAACATGTTGTCCGTACATTCGGCATCACTAAAACCAACTTGTTCACTGATCAAAACAAACGTATGCGTACCTGGATACCTCTGCCTGCGACCATTTCAAGACCGATGTGAGCGACTCCTCCGTGTCTGGTGAAGCCACTGCAGAGCCTGGAAGAACCGCTATCAAACGTATGCAAGCGTGACAAATGGGCCACATGCAAGACAAAAAAGGAAGCGTGTGAAACGCATCGCGACGTCCCCGGTCAGAAAAAGCCGACAACCGAACCGTTTGGTTCGAGAAAAACACTGCAAACACACAAAGAGGGCAGCTTAGTACGCAGTGGGGTTAACTAACTTTACTTACCCATCACTGAGGCTCCCTTCACCGGCACATCCGTAGTAGGGCCCTCTCTGCCAGGAACTCTTGATATGCTCGGCGTGCTGCGGGTCCCTATTGGTTGGGATAGCTTCAGTCCATCGGGGAAAAGTAGAGCAGAGTGAAAGGTGTGGGTGAGACCCAAGCGAGCAAGATCAACATCAAGATGAAGATCACCCGTAACACCAGAGATGGGGGAGCATGCATTCGTTCGTCCTTTACGTGACGTGTGAAATGCACATTGAAGAATAAACTGCAGGTGGAACTAAAAGACTCTTGTTGATTCTCGCTCGCAACGTTCGTGCGGGGACCAACCACCGAGATGTCTGTATGAGGGTATGGGCGCTCGATATTCTGAAAAGGTGGTCGAGGTTGTGATAAGCGTTGCTAACCAGTTGGAACTCTGCCCACACAGTCAAGCTAACAGTCTCACACCTTTCCCGAGCTCCCGCCGCTCAAGCTTGCGCGCCCTGTCGTGGACGCACCGACTTTCAGAGATCGGTTTTCTGCCTCCAGCCGACTGGTACTATCCTGAAGATCTTCCAGCGCCTCGGCAATGAACTTGTTCTCCTGCTCGAACTTTCTGCTTGTTTCTTGCAGAACCAGAACCTGTCGAACGAAAAAAATAAATGGGTTCCGCTGACGTGTGCCCAACCGCTGAATTCCAATATTTTCGCACAAATGTCTGAATGCTCGAACGAGACTACTATGTTCCACACCAAATATGGTGCCCCGCTGGAAACTTCTTCACATTGACAAGGCCGCACATACTGCAATAGGCACTCCCTCACGTGCACATGCAGGCTCAATATTTAACATGGTGGTATCGTTTAGGAGGCAATCATCAGGTCTGCATCAACTGACACCGGTTCGAACGTGAGTACCTGCTTCTGAAGATCTGCCGATGTGATCTGTGACCCTTCAGTTTTCTCCAACAGGACTTCCAGCTGTTCTCTCTTGGATGTCGCGACGATCAATTCCTTGCTCTTCGCCGCCAGCTCGACAGTCTGTGATAAGAGGTAACGCAAGGAGAGCATTGGTGAGAACAGCGGTGCAAACACGACTCTAACAATACCTTAAAGTTTGGCTTGGAGTGAGTCCGGAAACGCATATCTCGCCGCGAGTGTCTCGTCAAAATGCAGCTTGCAGCTTGTCCACAGGCAGGATGAAAGCATGCGTATGCGCGTCGTGTTGCATCTTGTTACCATCCATTGCAATAGCGATGCAGAGGGTCACGGGAGTGCGTTCAAAAAGCACCAGTTTCGGGAACGTCAGCCTCCTTTTTATCAAAGCACTCGAGTACTTAGGTGTTCTCACCATGTCAGCGGTCTGTGCCCTGGCAGCCTCTAGTTCCGGCTTCAGTTCGATTGCTTCTTCCAGCATCATTCGTATCCCTTCTGCTCTGGACACACAGGGCGCTGGCATGCTACTCGCGACGTCGTCGGCTTCGCCGGAGCTGCGACTCGTGTCTTGGGCTAACCATGGCGCCACCGCGCGCCACGTTGCTCTGGGAAACGGCGGCATGTGCGTTCCGTCTTGGACACCCGCGTCGGTGGTGGGCGAACGGAGCAGGTCCTTTGCAGCTGGCCGCAACGAAGTGACCTTGCAAGATGAAAATCATTATCAACAGCACAACCTCGAGTCAGACCATAACCCAGAGTGTGCGAGGGCAACGCGATCTCTTCCCGTTAAATAGAAAAGCGAATCACCGTTACCTGCTTGGCCAATTCCGACGCAGTAGGGTCAGGGGCGCCTTTACGGTGGTCCACGGCATGGGTAGACACCTTCTCCAACACCTCTTTGGCTCCTGTGAGAAGGCACACGTATTGCATCAACCAATGGGCGTGAAATTCAGCGAGAGGCACCAGTACTGGCTGTTAACCGGTCTCGGTGCACACGGATACACCACCGAAAGATAACGCCCTTGGGGCTGTATTGTGTGTCCAACCTGCAACGAGCCGTGTAAGGTCATTTGTATCGTTAGGAACTCACCAAGAGCTACCTGCTCCAGCTCCGCGGACATGTTGCCACAGCCGTTGTAAGCAACGCTCCTGAGGGCCTGCGTCGCAAATGAAAAACAGCATCACCATCAAATTGCATTGAACCACGGAGACGAACAGCATCGAACGAACGGGCGCGAAGCTAGCCCTACCGTAGACAATGGACCCCCAGAGAGGGAGACATCAGGGAGACATGCTGGACGATCATGACAGCAGCCACACCAAGCTTTCGAGATGCGCCTCATCTTTGACATGATTGTGTCGTTGAGAAAAATGGTCGGCTACACTCCACACTCACCATCAGATCGCCCCACAGCCCACGCACGCTTTTCCACAGCATCGAAACTCCATCCTCGCGCTGACTGACAAGAACCCTAGACACACGGGGAGCATCTGCGCCCTGCACAGCACAAGAGAATTTGAAACAAAGGACAGGCGTTTATTTGAGATGCGGTGCGCAGTGCGCATTGTCTGCAAAGCCTTTCCGTACCGAGCGGGACTAGTTAATTTCCATCGCTCCATCTATTGCCGTCGCCCGTAGCATCTGCCGCACGATCTTGCCCTATCTATTGAGGAGCTACGATCTACAACTTGTCGGTGCGAAGAGCAGAACCGGTCGACACACCAAAAAACGATCATCTTCAGTGCCGTATATGTGAGAATATAACTTGCTAAGGCTAACGTGGACAGATGGTTACTAGGCATGCGCGCATCACTCTCAAAGGGCGTGATTGCAAAGGTGACAGCATTTTGATGGCGGGACGGGTCTCTTCGATCATCAACTCGAATAAAAAGATGCACAGTTTTGACGGATAGAGGGAAGGGTGACTTCGAGTGTCAGCGAAGCTAACATGATCACAACTTCTAAGGGAAAGATCTACTGCGCCCTCTGTTGCGAAAGCAAGGCAAGCACCGCAGAGGAAGCTTCATGTGTGACCCCGTTAGGGAACTCCTTAGCACAACAGGCAAGCCTTCTACACTGCGACCAATGATTAGACGAGAGATGAAATTAACACGCAAACATACAGTGCGTTTCTCCTTGGTTGTACAGAGGATGCAACATATATACCATGCCTTCACCGTGATCTTCGCTATACCACAAACAGTTCTCCTCCAACGGCTCCTACTGAGTGGGGTTACAGCCACACATTCTACTGGACCACGCCAAGACATGCGCCGCTTGCGATGTACCCAGACGTAAGTCAACAAGCGTTCTTTGTTGCGCATCATAGGAACAAGCGTGCTCACCCGCAGAGCTGCGCTCGTCACTGCCAGGACGGCACGCCTGGCGCTTACTAGGCAATCCTGCAGGGCAGCCACTGCCGCGCATACACTGCCACCCCGTTCGCCATCGCTCTTGTGGGTATTGTCATCAGCGCTGGCTCTGTAACCACCTGACGGCACAGCAGCAGCACGGCGAATGCCAATGCTGGTGGTTGTTGCTGCCAGCGCAGAGACAGTGGTCGCAGACCCCGCAGGGCGCAACCCGCCTTCGTCCTGCCGCGATTTGGTGTGAACGTTGAGTAAAGAGGCGACAGTATTATCAGCACGAGGAATTCATACCATTGGTTACTACATGCTCGCCAGACTCCAGGCGGAAGAGCCCAACCGATGGTACTTGACAGTTGCACATGGGACAAAGGCTGTTGAAGCCCCGGCGCGTCCCTTGCGCCCAGGCGCGGACTCGTGCTAAACTGTGAAAAGCGCGAGCAGTCTCATGCTCCCACGGTTCAGTGGTCAAACTTCATTGACCTCCAAACATACCTGAATTACCCTCAACAGGCCATCCACAAGCTCCTCCGCTTCGCCCACTGCAGAAGCGACCTCCGAGCTCACAGCTGCGACTTCTGCGGGAGATGCTTTGCTACTTGGAACCGACACGGTAGCACTGAGAACCGCAAGGGCCTCGCCTATGGCCCGGGCAATGGGCGATGATTGTTCAGCCTCGAGAGCCAAGCGGGAGCAATCCTCCATTGCGGTTGCACGATCCAACGTTGTGTCCTCCAGCGCGCCGCCCTCTTCGTCGTGCTGCGCTGCTCCAGGCTGCATCGACAGGCCGAATAACAAGGATGTAATCGTAATGTAGATTGTCGAGGAAGTATGCTCAGGGTGGTGTGGAGAAAATCAAGATTCGAACAAAGAAAACAACTTTTTTATAGCTTCGCCACCACCATCCGCTAAATAGCCTAGTATTCCAGAAAATTATAAAAACCAGCGGCTACTGAAAAGGCGTCCAAGCTCGAAAACCCTATTTTTTCGAAGAAAACACTTGGAGCGCAGCCTCACCACGGCGGCAAACACATCCACAAACTCGATGGCTGGTAGCTCCAGCAGCTCCAGGGCAATGCCAGCCTTTCTGGCCAGTCTGCAAACACTCAGGTCCGCATCGATGCACCTATGCGTTGAAGCGCCAGCATTGTGACAATAGTAAAGGTACTTCAGTAAAAGCTCGAGGAAAGTTAAGTATCTTTCGACCAAGAGAATGATGCTCTGGCGGTTTCGCTCACCAAAGTCTGATGGACCAGCGCGAAACGTGCATGCGTCCGCTCTGTAACTCAAACACACAAAGTGGAAGTCTGGCCGTGACACAAACTAGGAAACAGTCAGTCAAATCCTCGTGTTTCATGTATCCTGTCGGACTTCGGATTCAGGTGGCATTCGCTGCCCTATGCATAGTTCGCCGAGAGGACGCACGCGTAGCCAGCAATGCCTTGCAACTGCACCTGAGCTCTGTCTCCGCGGCCCCGAGCGATCCAGGCAGAAGCATGGATATTCGGGAAGAACGAGCTTGGGCATCCAGCAAGTTGACCTGAAGCAGCTTTCCAGACATTTTTGCCCTGCGATGCCCACGGCCCAATGAGCACATAGAACGAGGACGTAAGCTCCAATCGAGTGGTGCGACGGTGCGACTCCAACGGCACAGGCTTCAACGCAACTGCTCTAGACAACCTTTCCCTGCCCGGCGGCATGCTTGTTCGAGTCGCATACATCAGAGGGTGGAGCCTTCAACGCTCATGTGGAGACGAGAGTGCCAAATAGTTGGGCACTTGTCATTTCTTTCGCGCGCATGCTGCTTGTCGACACCCACCTCCTGGCCTGCGTCGCCATTTTCTCGATGGAAGCTTTCTGTGTCAACAAGGCTCGCTTCTCCGCCGTTGCCAAAGCCGCAGTTCCGATCTCTGATTTCGAAGCGGCCGCTAGCTCATCCCTGGAAGCTTTAAGCCGATCCGCGTACTCCCTGGTGATGAAAATTACACACACGGCTAGCTTAGCTCATGCAACAAATGCGCTGCTCGCTGCTCGCTGCTCGCTCGTAGTGGCAAGTGCACTACTCTCGAGGGTTAAGATGGGCCGATAGCCAGCAGACATCGCGTTCATGCTATATATGTACTCCAAGAGAAATACAACGCGCACCTGAAGCGATCGATGGTTTGTTTGGTGTCTTGAAGCTCCTTCATGACGGATTCGAGAGCCAGCTTCTGGTTGTGCAGGCTCACCTCACGTCCAGTTAGTTCACTCTGCGGGCCGACAGCGACGGCGTTCGGGAAGCATTTGCAAACTGGTTGCAGGATAGAGTGCTGTACTATCAGCATACATATCGTACAGATGGAAAATCCAGCCGTAGCACGGTATGTTTCACATTGTTTTCTTGTGCGCTCAAACGTAGAAATTAGTCTATCTAGAAGTACGCCGTGCGCCGATGTAGGTTTGTATACCTGTAACTCCCGGATATCCTCAGCTTGCTGCGTTTCGAGTTCCTCTGACATTTCCACAGACGATTCCAGATCGGCAATTGTTGCCTCCAATTCGCCGCATCTTTCGCCAATCTCTAGGTTCTTCGTGGTGAGCGCCTCCACCATCTCCTCATAAGCTTTACTTTCGTCGAGCTGAGGAATCGACAGGGGAGAGACGATCAACAACCGGAATTGTTAGCCCACCCGTGACTGCCCTTGAGCCGCACAAGTCGAGGACGCCCATGAGCAGGCGCGCGAATGCATCCGTCATGTTCGGTAGCCTCCTCGACCTTGACCGCACCGCTTCCGAGAGCGTGAAAAGTAAAAACAGCTTTGTCTGCCCCTGCCAAGCTGACCTTTTCCAGCAGGTCCTCCATCTCAGCCGCCTTGCTGTCTTTCCAGGAGCGCAATTTCTCCACCTCGTCTTTCAGGCCAGCAGTCGACGTCGCCTCTTTTTCAAGCGATCGAATAGCCTTCGTAAGCTAAAGGGGTGACGGAGCGGAGACGTAATGAGTCATGTCATTCGCAAAACGGCCAAGCGATTTTCATCCTGTTGTTTCAGCGACCAAGGCAGTAGACGTTTACTGCAATGCAAGTGTGCATACCTGTACATGAGTTTAAAGGGGAGCGACATATGTGCAACTTTCCACTGCGAATGAGTTCCATGTTGGCCTACCCTTGTGTGACCACTTACGTCGGTCTTCTCAGCGATGCTATGGGTGTGCAGCCGCTTCAGTGCCTCTTTGAGTTGGACGTTTTGTTCTGCCAGCATTTTGACATCCACGCTGCCATCGCGGGCACCTCCAGCAGCGCTGCGTAAAATTACAGAGCCGGGTTTGCACGTGAACAATTGCATTCACGCAACTAAGCACTCCACCGATCAGACGGGCCATTGCACAAACTAAGATCATGATTTCGCCAGGAGCCCACAGACAAACGGCAGCCTGACACTAGGTGAGTGAGGTCAGGTAACACATGCACACCTTAGTGCTCGAGCCGCAGCTTCGTTCTCTTTCGCGTTCAGCTGTGCGTGCTCAAGGTCGAGTTTCGTCGAGTCGAGCTCCATCTGCAGCTCGTCCAGTTTCTCCTGCACTTGCAAGACATCCACGAACGAAATCATCGCGGTGTTGGCAATCATCGAGGACAATACAATGCCCAACCGCATGTTACTTGCATAACCACATGCAGACCGCAATCAACGACAAGGCCAGACGAAAAATCAGGCACACGCTTTCGGACGCAACACAAGGGACTTAAAACGTCGCCAATAACCCACCTGCAAGTCTTCCTTTTCGAGAGAGAGTTGTTCCTTGTCCAGGGTGAGAGCTTCACAGGTATCGGTCAACTCCGACACCTGCGATCCGTCGGCCGGTACATGGGAAGTGCCCAGTAAAGACCAAATCTGTTCCATGGAACATCGCAATAGACCCAACATGACTGTTCTTGACGGAATAATACCTGGTATTCCGTATGTAAGCCCCGAGAACAAATCGGTCAACTGGCGTGCCAACGCAGACTACCCGGCACCAATGCTGCACCCAGCACCGAGGTACCTGAAGTATATTCGGCTACCTCAGCTGCGTTTTAGCGCGGTTGATCACACATGGCATCCAGGCTCTGTAGGTGTGCAAGAAATCGTGCCGATGGCCATACCTGGACTTCCATGTCGGCCTCCCGTCTCCCTGCTGCCGCAGCGGCCGCCTTCTCTTTGGCTAGTGTCGATGCCTTCGGAACGAAACCATTCGCGACAAGTACAGCAAAACAGTGAAGGTATTAAGGGATGAAAAAAAAACTAGAAGAAGTATGCGTATGCACATGTTCTGCGCAGTATGATCTGAAAGCATAGATCAGAAGAACTGCGTGGATGACGACTTCCGACACAAGGTTCACCTTTAGTCGTTCTTCGCCCAAAGCATTTTCCGACTTCCTTTGAAACAACGACAGCTTTCCTTCCAGCTCCCGGCAGGACGCCTCGCGTGCATCTAGCTTCTCCGTAGCTTCGGCAAGACGTGCTTGCGCTTCTTCCGCTTCGCTGTAGAGGAAAAGAGGAACAACCGCCAGTTGTATGGTCACATCCTCCGCTCAGTGGATCAAGGAAGACGAAAGGGTGCTACAAATATGCTGCATTATTTCCGACTGACTTACTGTGGTTACCTGGTTGCTTGTGCGGCCTTTAATCGAAGCGCGTCCATCTCCACGTTAGCACTTGCTTGCTCTATCGCCCGCGAAGGAGGAGGAGGCATAGGGGAAGAGGCTAAAGATTCAGTGGAACCCTGCTTCTCCTCGAGTCCAGGGGTCGCGCGCTCAACATCGGTCTGTCTCCGAAAACTTTTGATTCCGGTGGCTCTGATCGCGCGTGAACTCCCGAGCGAAGGTGTAGTTGGGCTTGGTGCCTGTACGTCATGTCCGCTACTCGAAATAGTCTGTGCTCCCCTCCTGTGGGGACGACAAGCACACGGGTGAAGAGTGGACAGCGACGTTTAGTGGGCAGCGCTAGCGTAGCAAAACCTACGAGACAGGAAAAACTACTCAAGAAGCTCCTCCAAAGGCCTAGCAAGTCCCAACGCAGGACCCATTGAATAAGTAAACGCATTGTGTTGATCACGCATGTGTTTCTTGTACCTGGCTTCACTCCCAATGCTCCCAATTGAAACGAGAGACGCAGGGCTCCCAGGAACGTCCAACCCGTCTTTCACCGAAAACCCCCCTGGAGAACGCGAACCCCTCGGGCTGCTAAAGGTAGGCCGTTGAGCCTGCGGAGACGTCTTCCCAGCAGCTAGAGTTTCTTTCAAGGCCTGGACATCAAAGCAGCGGGTGTCCGTAGTGCTTAACACGCGTATCGTCGTACTTCATGGGGGTCGTTAAAAGATAAAAGCAATCGTGAACAGCAGTAAAAATCTCCCAACAAAAGTTTATCCTGAGCACTGCTAAACCTTTCCGCTGTCTGCTTTCTCTGCAGTCTTGACTAGCACCAGCGTTGATATTCGGACCTGATCTTGGTTTATCCTGAGATGCCACCACGTAATGTTCCGAACTACTGCTGTAGTACCACACGAATACTCCCAAGCCTCCTTTCGGTATACTACTACGTATTCTACCAGAAAAAATACAGTGTTCGTGCTCGGCGGAGACGTACGTGTGCTATATCGCTTGCTCTAATTTTTTATCTTTCTGCTTTACCATCCATTAGCAGGTATTTCAGCTCAACACCAACATTCGTGAAACTCGCCTTATTTTTTTCACGGATCGCTTGGAGGCGGGATGCAGCTCTTCCTGTCCCCGTTGTAGGCATTGTCGGAGAAGATGGGGACATTGCGCCTGGCTTTGCGCTAGCGGCTGTGGCGGCTGTGGCGGATCTGTCAAGTCTCACCTGCGATAAATTCCAGTCAGAGAAAAACAAAGTAAGGAAAATATAGGTATGCACCTGTGCGCGGAAGAAGTTTAGAACGCTGCACGAGGCGATGAGTCAACAATACAACGTGTACGTGTACTTGAGGGGGGGGAGAACAGCGGTTTTGACGCTGGCTCTTTTCCCGTACTTTAATCCTATACAAAGAAAGAAAACAACCTTCCCGCCAGGGTTAGGTTAGGCATTCTTTTGTCAGCAGTAGAGGACACCATGAAGAGGCGTCGTGCGTGCTGGCACGTTCAGGTTTGCTACTGGAGCGGAAATGTCGAAGGTCGAAATCTGCGCCGGAACCAAGCGGCATCCAACATTTGTCACAGCCATGCTCACCACCACGGACCGTCAACCCCTGAACCACGTCAGCAGTAGCTAGTGGCATCAGCTACTGCTGTAAACCCGTAGTTCAGGAGATTGGGGTCGGTGGCGGCGAGCATGGCTGTGACAAATGTTGGATGCTGCTTAGTTCCGGCGCGCAGATTTCGGACTGTTTTCAAAGGCTGCTGCGACCTTCGACATTTCAGCTCCAGTGGCAAACCTGAACGTGTCAGCACGCACGACGCCTCTTCATGATGTCCTCTACTGCTGACAAAAGAATGCCTAACCTAACCCTCAAAACTGACCTTATTTGAACGCCTTCCGTTTTGGCTCTCTTGACTTCAATTTAGAACAGTGTGAATTTTTATCTTGACTTCAAAGGAGGCCTGTGGAGGTAGACGCGTGAAATGTATGTTTTGAGCAGCCTCTACTGCCGCCCTGTGCGAGAATCAACGATTGCTGTTTTTCGCGATGCCTCCCGACTGGTCTTTGTGTGTCTGTCATACAATTTCTGGACCTCTTGCGTTTGTTTTCAAAATTCGTCAACATCAATATTGCTCTTCTGCCCCCCCTTAAGTTTCGCGCTCTTACCTCACCACGGCTGCTACCAAATGCTACTGCTGCTGTGCAATTTGGTACATGTGAAATACAGAGTGCTACCTTGTGTGCCTGGTGTTGCCTGCAGCAGCAGAGAGAGTTTTCAACTGGTGTGACGGAGTTGCGGAATACCTGCGCCTTCTTAACGAACAGTCCGTGTCCCTCGCGGCAGTCGAAGTATTGAACGCCGTTGACGAGGCCATCGTTCTTGCCCTCTTGGAGATCGAGCTCAACTCCTATCCACTCTCCGGCCGCGAAATCGGTTGGCCCGATAAACTTGACCTGCCAGACGGAGGACAAGAGTACTAAGAGGGCAATCCAGAAAAATAACGCAAACCAGTAGAGAGATGACCTATGTAAAGGGCAACAAGGAGGTGCGCCGAGCGCCGGCCCACAGCATGCATGAGAACATATGCATACGTCCAGTATTTGGAAGAGTATGCACAAGTCTAGACTCCGGAGGAGTATTTTACTGCACGTTGGCCCTCTTACCACGCCTTTTTTCCCGGTGACAGTCACACGCGAACCGAGCGCCACCCGGGACGCGAATGTGGCCATAGGAGAAACTAGGCCGCAGAACGAACGTGCCCGAGAGGCCGTGCGTTGTGCGAGGTTGCTGCTGTTGTTGCGATGTGAGGCGTGAGGGTGCGGGCAGGTGGTTCTCAAAAAAAAAAAACACCCAAACCTGCACGCCACTTGCAAATCCCAGGTTCGGGATCGCCTGGGAGTGCCTGCTCCCTGCTCCGCTCCGCTACTCCGTCACTCCGTCACTACACCTTTGTGTTCAGCTGTCAGGCGTGCAGCACACACGCACCCCCTCCGTTCTAAGTAGTCTTCCCCCACCCCTGTACCGTGTGGTCTGGATTTTTTGCCAGCTGGCCTGCTGGTTCGTCCTCGAATATGGATCAGCAGGCGAAGGTGCGAGTGCCTCTGAAGCTGCTGCTGTGTGTGTACAGTAACGCGGGTTCAAACGTTCAAACGTTCAAATGTTCCATTCCATGCAAATTCTGCATCGTGACTCTCTATTTCAGATCTTCGTTAATGCATAGATTTAACGTACCACCCCTCTTGATCATTTGTCTCGTATGAGGGGTGGTCCTCAGTGCTGTATGTGCACATCGTCTAAGGTGATCTGTACGTGGAGTACAACATGGTACATGGCACGTACGAGTCATGGCATATAGACTAGAAGTACATGGTTACGATGCATCAGGCTCTGCCAGGGGCTTGTTCTGCAGAGCTGCTCGTCGCTGCTGTCTGAGCGTTGCTACTGGATCCCTCTCTAGTCATGTGCAAGCATAAAGTCTGCCGTACATATACCGAAGAAAGGATGGGTACTTGCTACTGGACTACTGCTGGCTTTGATTATCGTATTTCTCATACATGTTGTAGCATAGACTGACTGTACATGTACACGTTTTGTATTCCATTCTCATGAGTGCCACAAGCAGTACGTGAGTTGAAAGATTAATGTTAACTTACAAAGGCTACCTACGGCAGGTGTTCGAAGTGTTGTCATTTGATGCTCATAGGAAGAAGGCGACGGCTTTTTTTCTTTTCTCTTTCGAGTACTCGAGTGTAGCACATGCACTGGAATTGAACGTTCCCTCTCTCACGTCGTTTTGGAAAAGAGCACATTAGACTACCTAGGGTAGCACCAACTGCAAACATGTGTAGTACATGTGTGATCTGTTTAACACCGAAACAAATACACGAACACCCAACTCTTCCCAGCATCTTCCTTTTACCCCCTCCCAAATACATAACTGTCCGATACGCATGATGGCCACCAAACCTTCGTGTTGAGCCTGTATTACCCGCGGGGGTATTCAGGGTTCATACATGGACATGGAGTCCGAAGATGCACCGCTTTTTTGTAATTTCTACGTCAAACTCGTGAGTGCCTCCGATGCACTCACGCACACACCAGATCTCTGGCACCTTCTCACACGAACGAAATCCCCAACTTACCCACCTACACTGAGCACCTTGAAGGGGATGATGATAGAATACGTATGATGGGATGATGGCACTTGCGTAAATGTCTCGCTCCCCCACTCACCCACCCTCCCTCCAGATGTGGACCTGTAGAAACAACCGCATCAACACCTACGGTCTTCATTTCAAACATGCCGAAGAGTCCAATCACCTGCTTAAAAAAAACAGGCGACTGGGCTGCAGTAACGAATACACTCAGCCACATTTAGACACTTTTTGCATGAAAGTGCTCTACGGCTGGCCAATCAATCCATCACCACACATTCGTTTATCCCCGATACGACTCGCAGCTGCCAAGTACACGAAAACGACCGTAATATTGCCTCGTTGAGCCTTTTGCCCGCGGGGAACAAACTCTTACAGAGTATCTGTAGCTTTGTTTTTTTACCTCAGTGACTCTATTAGCAGATCACCATTATTTTTGCGCTCTTGAGTGGAGATCCTCGTCCAGATAAACGTATGTTAGGCACATCAGTTCTTTTGTAAGAACATAAATTCATGTTCCTTGAATAAGGTTAATTCGCACACAACGCTAGGTTAGTAGTAACAGTTCCGTACCACAAGGTAGCATGGTCACTCAACGCTGGCAAGAGCCGCGCGGGAGGTTGGTGTTTGACTCGCACTACAGTTCCCCAACGTCCAATGACAAGCACGGAGTGTCCTTCCCTCTATGCATCATTGGTGACCCCCAGATTTCTCCTACGTGCGTTGCTTCTCTCCTGATCTGATACACTGGTCCAGGGTAAGAAAGTCAGGAGTGGTGTCAGGGCTAGAAGAAGAGCGCGAAAACCTTGTGCCACCACCGACGACAGCGGCGCAAATGATGGTGCGACCAGCCATCAGGTGCCCCAGGCGAACTATTTTCTGAGCGGATATGTGGTGTCACGAAGCTGCTGAGCTTGAAGGAGCTGACTTGTTTGAAAAGGATTCTCCCGGTTTTTTAGTTCTTGGTATTGTATTCAAGCGTTCTGAAGAGTTGTGCATGTGCCGGGGTAGCACTCGCCCGTGGGCGTACCTCTGTGAGGCCAGATGTTGGTGAACTGATAGGGTTGAATGTGCTGCGGCGCCGTTTCGCTGCAGGTCACCAGGTGGGTCAGAGTATCGAGCACGACTGCCCCGGAGCGACAAAAGGGAGCTGAAACGCCGAGCTCAAAGGGTGCAGATGAACACCGAGATCGCGCCGTCGCTTCGCAGCACAGCCTGGACCAGCCCTCAACTCCAAGTCAGCACTTGTTGCCGGTGTCATTGTTCTCACCAGCTTTGTCTTCGGTAAGGGGGTAAATTTAGTCATCGCTGTCCATGCGGACTCGCGTGTCTTCGAGGCCGTTCTGCACTGGCACCATTGCTTCATGGATATGTGGAATAGAAAAATGATGTTACCGCGTACGAGTGGCTAGGAGGACGGCGGCCGAACTGATGTGTCCCATTTTGACCAAAGATGTGACATGCAGCGACTGCAGTCGTTTGTTCGGCTGTTGTCGTTTTTTACGATAGTTGCACTTGCACCAAGAGCTCTCCCCGATACCTCCCTCCCGCAGGGAACCCCAGGACCGCAGTCGACGCCTTCTTCAATGCGGAGTGACGTTTCAGTCCAGCTGCATGCCTCAGTCCCAGCGGGAGCAAAGATAGAGTCGCAGACAAGAGCAGGTAACCGCGCCTGCCAGATCTGTGACTGGATGCCTCCGCAAGCTCCTGGAAATGAGAGTTTCCAGACCGGCGAGGCAACCAGGGCGGCGGAGGGTTGCATGACAGAAGTTGAACCGTCGGCTAAATCGGCAGAGACGATCCCACTCTCGGGTAGCGATCCGGTGGAGGACGCCCAAGAAGGGTGGGCTGCGATTCGTCCACCCGCTCTTTGGTTGGATTTGCCGGAGGAATCAGATTCATGGGCAGACGCGATGCGGAACAACTGGCCACTTGACAGCGGAGACGAACTTCTGTCTGACGAAAACGAATCGGACGTAGCCGAACGGAGAAGGTGGCAACAATGGGCGAAGCATGCAGCCGAGCACGAGAGACAGCGGCGGATGAAGGTCGGGTTGTGTGCACGCAACATGTCTTACGCGAGTATTTGTTTTTCTTCATGGATTTGGCAGAATGAGATGTACGCCATGCCTTGGTGTTTGACGTGCGACCCGCCTCAAAGACGCGGGTTTAAGATACCGTGGACCTCGAATGTTATCTTGTGTCCAATGCGCAGATTCTTGAAGGCATGGATCGGGAGGAGCACAGAGAACGTTTGGCCAGGCGAGCATGGGCGTTGTCGGCCATGGACGAGGAGCAGCGACGGAGAGGAAGTCAAGAGGTATGATGAGTTTTTGTGCCTGGTCAGATTTTATGTGGTGAATAGTTACTCTGCCAGGCCTTCAACGGGCGCCTTGTTTTGGTCGATTCTAGAGCGCGCTGCTCCGGGAAATGAGCGATCGCTCATCAGCTAAATAGCTCCGGACCGAGTTTATCCGTTGGAACAATCGGTGCCAACCCTGTTCTCCTGTAGTGACTAGGCAGCCCTTCGATTCGGTTGTTTGTGAATGTCCCATTTAGGTGGGCAGAAGATACGTGATGATGTTATGCATTTTATGGTGTTCACAACTTGAAAGCGCTCCAGACTTGACAATCGGTATGGACAACCTTGGGAGAGCTCAGGAGATTCTTGAGTGGTCCAACCCTCACCACCTGTTTCGCATTTTGGTCTGCTTGCTCCAGTTTTTGCTCTCAATCCAGGGGACTAATTGGTTTCAAGGGACCATCTCCACCTTGGATCTAGACTACGAAATCTGCTGCCCCTACTCTTCGCTTGGATGCCGACACATTTGCCTCCGAACTGAGCTGGACAAGCACCTGGCAAAAGATTGCCAGTTCAATAAAGAACCCGAAAGCTCCGATTCGATTGCATTGGTGAGTGGAAATAGGAATCATGACGATGGCAACGTCTGGACGACGTAAGAAATGAGCGACTGCTGTGCCGAGTTGAACTTGCACTCAAGGACGCTTGTGCATTGCTGTTCAAGCCACACATGGGGCAGAAATCAGCGTGTGCTCTCTGTGCAGTGCCAGTGCCCCTACTGTAGAACAGTACGCTTTGTTTACCGTCAATCCCGCTCCTTCCAGGTGGATGCTGGCGAGTACGAGGTCGTTTGTCCCAACACGGTTCTCGGGTGTACCCACAGCTGCCCCAGGAGCTCCCTCGCCGAGCACCTAGAACACTGCTACTTCACAGGCCCTGACGTTACCGAAGAAAAGGCGGAGCGAGCGAAGACGAAGGAGATGGTGTTGGAGCAAGCTGAGGAAGAGAGGGAGAGAAGGGTTAATCAGGGTAAGTACATTGGCACGGGCGCTTGCAGTGCATAGTCCTGGCGAAGTGCACCTTGCAGACATCTGCGGTATTTGCAGAGGTTGCAGAACTAACGAGCACCCTTTACAATGCAGAATTGGTGCAAGGGGCACTGTATTGCTCGGTATGTTCTACCGACAACCTGCGCCTTTCACTCTGGAACTATCCTAGAGTACTGTAGGTGCTGCGTAGGTTCTTGTGTGGTCAGCCTGAGGTTATTTGGCGAGTCTTGATATTTCGGCTGCGTGTGCTGTGTCTGGGTTAGGCAACCATGGCCGCACGTTGACGTGCGAATTATGCAGGAGACTGGCAGAGCAATAGCTTACTCCACCGGCTGTTGGAGGATCAGAAAAGCCGTTCAATGGTTATACTCCATGAGGAAATTCTGGACTTCGCGGCAAGGTGCGTTTGTCCCATGGTGTGCGAGATTTCTAGCCTGCGGTCAGGAGGATGACATGTGTATCTGCTGCATTAATTTATTCCCAAACCTGGTCTCCAAGCGCAGCAACCCATCCATCTGTTCACCAAAGAGTGCGTGCACTATCTCTTGTCTTTGCAGGTGCCGAGATGTCCAAGAGAAGCGGAAGAGAGTGCTGGAGAATCTGTGGCGTCGCATCGAAGACGTCATCTGTTTGTTGTGGCCGGATACTGTCGTTGTCCCATACGGGAGTTACGCTTGTGGCATGATGACACCGGAGAGCGATGTGGACATTATGGTTAGTTCCTGTAGACAGCAGCGTTGCCCGTGTTTAACGTCGCCCTTGTGACATGTGTTCGCACCCGCGCGCCATGTGCATGACGTTTTGATGTCGAGGTCAATTCTATTTTTGTGCTCTGCCTTAAGTTATGCGCGTCGAAGTTATTTCTTCCGCTCGTTGGAGTCGGGTATTTTCTACTCGGAGACAGGTTACCTTTTGTCCTTTCACTTGAGAACATTCTGTTGTGCGATACTTGTTTCCGAGCGGCTACAAATTGCGTGTGCCCCGTCGTGTATTGATGGGCCGTCAGGTGTTTCCTGGAGATTGCAAGAACTCGAGTCCGCCATTTGAGGCGAAGGACGACCAGCCACGCCGGCGAGGGAGTCGCACCGACAGCGTTGGTGGCATGCTAACCAGAATTCACGAGCTCGCGGATCATTTGACACAGCACGTAAGAGGAAGGCTTGAACGCCAGCAGTTTTCGGCGGCCGGTTAGCTTTTTTCAGTTGTGCCATGATATCCTGGTATGGCTTCGCCTTAATTCAACATATTTCCCTTGAATGCCCTCCGTAAACGAACACCTGTCCTTCCAGGGAACGTTCAGTTCTATGAAGGTGATACCTCACGCCATGGTACCCATCATAAAAGCGCGCACAGGTGCCTTAAGCGACGGGGACGACGGCTCTGGCGATACTGTCAGCTTCAGCATTGACATCTCCATCGACTGTCAATCCCACACTGGATTGGCAACGAGTGCGTTTACGTCATACCTTGCCGACCACCTCCCGAACCTGTGTCCCTTGACAATGGTGCTCAAACAACTCCTGCAGGTGAAAAGAGTAGTCCATACCTTGTATGCACAGCAGTCTCGGTATATGTGCTGCCTAGGAACCATCTGTTTCCCCATACGGCCATATGGCCAGTTTATGATGTTTTCACGACCATCCGTCCCTTACTCACCACTTGCGTTTTTTTTGCAGTCCCGTGGCCTAAACGACCCGTTTACGGGAGGTTTATCGAGCTACGGTTTGGTGCTGATGGTTACGTTTGCCCTTCTCCAGAGAGACCACTTTCCTCCCTCCCCGGGGTCCAACTTCCTCCAACGGTCTAGTTCGGGTTCTGCTCCCGCTGAAGATCAGGCTGACGGTGCACAACCAGAAGCTTCGCGTCCAAGGACCTTGCCTTCCCGATGCCAACCGGCGGACGTTAAAGACGTTCCAGTCCCGCCATCACCAGGACATGCAAGCAGCTTTCCGCCGTCGCCCAAAGCAAAGCCGCGAGAAGCTCCAGTAAAGAAGATAAGGAAGAGAGCAGCACCCTCTGTTAGTAGACAACGGTTCTGGCAGCCATCTTCCTTCGTGGAAAGCCGCTGGGGAAGAACTCTTAGTATGGCAAGCGGTGCACGAGCCGCTAATGCCTTGAACGAACAGGAGAAGACCCAAGCGTCCGGAGGGGGGAGAATATCTTCATGGGACAGGTATGGCCATGGCGCTCAAGTGTTGGGTGCTTCAACGAGGATCATGGCGTGTTCAACTACTCTTCTCTTGCACGAGGACCCGGTCCACGTGATGTCTTTTTGTCAGCCTCAAGCTCTGTGTGTGTTATGACTACATCACATCATGTTTTAGTCGAGAGGGGGTGAAGGGACGAATTGTACAATGCAAGCTGGTTCACAGCGAAAACCTACATTTTTCGTCACACCAAAACTCAAGCTTCACTCTGTTTTTTTGCAGACCCTACTTGTTTGGATTCATGCATTACACCCGAGATATGTCCTCCACGTTTGCTACCAGTATCGAATGGCTACAAATATAAAGTATGTTTTTCTTTAGCCTGGCGAAGCCGTTGGGGCTTCAGGTGAGGCTGGGGCGACCCCTAGGTTATTTTCATCCTATTTTCTCCAGATACCAGAGTCACGAAGACACCGAACTGCTGTTGAACTTGCTAGCAATCTTCACACACGAAAAAACTTACAGGTGTTGTTGTGCCTTCTCTCTGGTTTCAGTTAGCAAGTTGACGTTTCGGTTGTGCTCACACAATACAAGATTAAAGCAACCGCATCAAGCACTCGGCATCGACAACGGAATTCGCCGTAACAGTCCTCGGGCAGCCCAGCGACGGAACTCTTGAACCTTTAGTGCATGTAGCACCTCAGACGTCGGCAAGCCCCCCGAGCGATTTTCTTTGTTCTTGAGATGTTTGTATTACCCCTTTACACCACGCTGCCAATGTTGTAGACGATGGGACCAAAGGACAACCGTCGTTACTCACTCTAGCTTCTTTGCTGCAGATTAACCAGTTGGATCCAAGGCCGCCAACCGCCGCATCGCACTCCCTATGCATACGCCTTTGTCGCTTTATTTCTTGTCTTTGTTCTTCAATGTTTGTTGCGTGTTGACACATAATCTATGTGAAGGGTATGGAATTCAGCCCTGTCATTCTTGAACACCTGCAGATTTGGTTGAGAAGCACTTTCGCCGTCAGTTTGGCGCAATCGAACATCCAGCCTTGTCACCCTCTTCACTCTCTTGGCTCTCTTCAGGCCCTGCCCTGGTTGAAGGGGGCGGCACGACGATACCGAAAGTGTGACCATGTTGGAGAATTCTTGCTTGCATTAGGTTTGACAAAGATTGGGCGTCATCCATGGCGCTTTGTCTGTTGCGACAGGCCGCGGCAGCAGTATTGGCTGGGATCGCGGACGGCAAGAGCAACGCTGATGCAAGATTTTTATGCGGGCGCCCCTGCGCCTGCCCCTCCGGCATCGAAATTGGAGCAGGTAAAGCTAGTTGCTCTGAGTGTTTATATAGTATAATAGTGCACCTGACGCCTCTGTTGGCAGGCTTTTTTGAGCGCCAAACGTCGTAGTTTCAGAAGTGCAACATTCTCTCTGTGCTTGCAAGCACACGTACGTTATGAACACGATGTGAAACGTGACTCACCAACCCCTCTGTTTTGAAATCATCTGATTGTTGCAGGTTCGCGACAGCAGCATCATCCAGTCATCAGTTCCGCCACCACCTCCCCTGCCGGAGCCTGTGGTAGAGACAGCTTCACACCCCATGATGGCCCCGATGTCACCGTACATTATGAGTGGCGAAGAGCCAGTGAGTGGTTTGCGCGTATTCCCTTCACTTCTACTTGTGTATGGGGTATTCCGGTCCGCTCCAGGAGCGTTAGCATCTAAGTGATCGAGCTCATTCAACTAGAAAGCACCTACCTGTGGAGTAGAGGCTAGTGGAACTTGTGAAACCCGTACAACATGCTTACAGTATGGTGAAAACTTGTACTTACTGTTATTTCTTGGTGCCTGGTGCGTACAGGTGCTCGGCGAGCTCTTACTGGATTTTCTTCATCTTTTCGGAGAAGATTTTGACATGGGCCGAGAAGGGTTCAGCGTCAGAGGGGGTGGGTTTCGTTTCTGCGTACACGATCATCCTCCGCACCCGCAAGCATCCGACCCAATCGTAATTGAGGTGAGCTGGGGCATGTAGATTGGGATACAGGTGGTCGATTGCTCCATAGATAGGTTCGGGCTTTCCCGGGTGTGTATCAGGCTGTCTCCAGCGGCTGCTCATGATTCTTTTCAGGTGGTTGGACGTGCTTTCTTTTGCTCCGATACCAGAATCGCCGAACTCATATCCCACGGAATGTCGCTTTCTCTCGCACACGATCCCCTTCACTACCACCCGTCGGATGTATGTATCATGATTTCAACCGAATTCCGACGAAGAATGCGAACCCCACCCTTGTTATCCTTAGTCACAGGTGTTTGTTCTTCTGTCAATCGCCCTTGCACGCAGGACCCCCTGAACTGCATGAACAACGTCGGCAGGAGTTCGTTTGGAATAGGTCAGGTGCAGCGAATTTTCTTTGAAGCTCGGACAACTCTCAAGGCGACCACCGTGCGCGTCAACCAGGATGGGAGAGAGGCGAGTTACATATTTTGTTCGTGTTGGCCCTGAGCTTTGCGCATGAACGTGCCTGATGGCCCTTGAGTTTGGGGTACGTGCCACGAAGCGATGAAGGTGGGGTAGTAACCTCATATCTGGCCTGACCACCGAATGTCTAGGGAAAGTCAAGCAGGTCCCACACAAAAGCGTCTTTTTATTTTTTTACTCATCAGAACATCGCGAGGCACGGAGCCCCTAGGGCCATTTTTACCATAGAGATGGGCAGTCATTCCTCAACAACTACTGCTGTACTGTAGTTGCGATCTAACATCCCCACAACCCTAAGAAAAATCTCCGAGAAGTTCTCTACACGTTCACTATAGTTGCGAGCCTCTTTTGGGTGCGCCAATCCTTGGTTTCTCCTCAAAAAAATTGAAGGCAGATTAGATTTTACTCCCTCTGATCAGCAATATAAGGTCGATAAGGACAGAAGGCGAAATATCTCGCGATGACGTGCTAAGCACGAGGTCAGGAGTTCGATCCCCGCTCAGAACACTTTTTTTGACCAATAACCAGAAACTTGTTACTCGGGTACTTTATCACCACTTTAGGGTACTTAGAATCAACACGCTTGCACCCCCAGGCTGTCAGCTGATTGGCCGAAAAAACGTCGTACCCAGTTCTGAAAAAACCTCCATCGGGTATAACTTCCGCTGGAATTAGGACCCTCTGGTGTGACCGATATTGGTTACTGGTGTACCCGGAAGAGGTCGATTTTGTACCCAGAAATGGTCATATAATCCCGGCGCCCGACGCTCTAGCATAAAACCCGCAGACACAACCGTGTACCGCACATACCGTGTACCGCACATACATAACCACAACCAAACCACCAACAACGCTCGCTCGTTGATGGGCACCGCCTCCATAGGATACCGGCCCCTCTCGACAGAGGGTCGGACTCGCTTGACGCGCGAGTTCGTCCGGTGTGGTGCTGATCAGTAAAAGCACAGAGAGAGAGAGAGAGAGGCACACAGAGAGAGAAAAACGGGCACGACCTGCCTCGTGCATCATGCTTCCGAGGCACAGGACACAGGACACAGACAGCGGTTTATTGGTTTCGCCGCGATCTACGGCGGATACTGTCGGAGATTGGTGTCGTGTTGATTTCCAAGTGTACCCTGAAATGGTGATAATCCACCCGGGTATACCCGTTTCTGGTTACTTCTCCCTTTTTCTCCCGAAAATCACGTTTTTGTTTAAAAAAAAAAGGTCTTCCCTGTGTTTAGACCCATGTTTATGGTCGCCAAATCTTTGCGAAAATGTCGAAATTTTCAAAGAATTGCGGATAAAGATATTGTTTCACTTTTTAAGGGAGAAAATCTTCGGCAAAATCTTCCCAAACATTTTCAAATGGGGCAAAAGCCGTTCGTTTGACAAAATGTTTGACAAACATTTTGAAATGGGGCAGGTCGCGAAAATCTTTACCAAGAGCGGCGAGATTAGTAGCCGACCGGCCCTTCTGTCCTAAACACCAACCACTGCGCAGCGCACACTCAACGTAGCAAGCTCATAGAGGGATCCGGACAACCCTAGAGTAACCGCGTCAACTTTTGCCGGCTGATACATGGCGGGAGCTCGACAAGCGTACACAAAAAAACAGAAAGGGGTGGTTTGGAGGGCACGGAGAAAACGTGGTTTGTGTCTCCGAACGGCAAAAAAGTCGGCTGCTTGAGAGGAGACGGGAGTACAAAACTATCCAGCTCTCGTCCTCTAGACCATCGATTTATGTTTTGTCTTCTTGGGTGTCTTCTCCATCAACGGCTCTCATCCGGGTGTGCGTGGTTCAGCAGTGGACGTACTCAAAAGGCACGGAGGCGCGTCGCTGTGAACTCGATGTGTTGAAAAAGTCTTTTTTGGGACGGAGGAACAAGCCCTCTATATTCAAGTAAAAAAATAGACCGAAAAAAAACTTTTGTCCACAACTTTGCGCGCACAACGATGTGCCTCCCTGCCGATTGAGCACGGCCACTGCCAACCGACGCGCGACCGGAGAGTCGTTGATGGAGAGAACACCCAAGAACACAAAACATGAGTCGATGGTCTAACGGGCGAGAGCTGGATAGTTTTGTACTCACGTGTCCTCTCAAGCGGCCGACTTTCTGCCATTGGGAAGCGCTGACGCACGTTTTGGCCTCTTTTTGACACCGTGAACATTTTTTCTCGCACGCCCGGAGCGCTATCGCCACATATTGGCGGGCACGGCATCAGCTCAGTGCATCAAGGGTTGTGGGGAGCCCTTTGCGAGCTCGTTACATTCAGTTTCCATGACGCATTTGTGGTTTGTCTGTCACAAATCGTTTGGTAGCAATAGACCACGATTCCCGCCGCACTTCTGATGCATTCCGAGAAAACCACACGATAAGATATTTTTGCGCATAAAATGGTACTCAAATTTTCCTCTGGCAGGTTTTCGCGCGCAAATGTTTGAAAACATTTGAAGATTTATTTCCAACATTTTAAAACCTTAAACATGGGTCTTATGCTCCTCCAAGTGTCAACATTTGTCCACCCTGACGTTTTGCTCCCGGTCAACACCAAAGAACTAGCAATGGTACTTGAATAAGTGGGTGTACAGGCAGTTCACATATCCAAAAATCCAAAGAAAACAAAATCAGAAAAAACACTTTTTTTGGCGCGTGCCAGAGAAACAACGACGACCTTCTTTCCTTTCTGACCATTTTCTATGGAGATCAGTATCGGAATTAGTTTCCTCAGGAGAGGAGATGAAACCTTATCATCCCCTGTTATTAAGTATGCATTATTCAGCTGCTATGTACAATTTAAAATATTCGCTTGAGCCACCGTCGTAGTGAGGATAAAGAAAATTCACGAAGCCTTCAACGCTACCTATGCCTAAGGGAGCGATTTTGTCGGCTCGTTCCATGTCGATCAGGCGCATGAAGCTTGGTGCTCTGAGCTGCGAAACGATGCTTGAAGCCATGTCACTTTCCCTTGTAGTGGCGCGGCAATTCTTCGTTCCAGAGCAAATTCTGGGCGCGAAAGCGTTGCGCGTGTAGAATGAGACATGTTTGGAGCCTCCTGCTGATTCGTAGCAACATCCACGGCCTTTGGAGAAGCACTAGCGGTGACAAAGGTCTTGGCTGGATAGTCTCGGCCGCTAAACATGGGGAGCGCCTGGAAAAGTCAATTGGTTTTCGTTTGTCTGAACATGTACCTCCTGCAACGCGGGCGACCTTACCCAGTTACATGCTATGCGCGTCCCAGGAATTACAGTTGTTTGCTTCGAAAAACCGCACGAACAGAGCACGCGCTACAAGATGGGCTGTCTATAAATTTAGTTAACCAAGGTACACTTTTACACCTCTGCTGCTTACTTTTTTCCAACCAGGTTCTAGGGTCCGACACACACAATACCGGAATCCTGCGCCATATTTGCGCTGCAATGGCTGCTACCGCCGACGATTGCCAACATGATGCGCCTGTTGCGGCATAATCGTGTCTCGTGTTACTGATACCCCTTGTAAGTAAAAAATTGTAAAACTAGGAGGAGTTTCTAACTCTCTCGGGGGAGGGGGGATTCCTGGCTCTTCCAGAAGAATACGAAGCACGATTTTCTTCCTTTGGAAGGAGTTTTGAAGGTGTCCACGCACTCAACAGGGAGATAACATGACTCTTCCAGACATGTACACCGACCTATATTGTGAGGTTTGTCTGGCATCCGTTCAAGCGGCTCGTATTGGTAGGGATCAGAAGTGTTTGATTTCGAGGCCGTATGCCCCAAAACGTTTACGCCATCTCAATTTCGCCGTCGTAAGGCACGTACAATAGTCAGCGTCGATGTTGTCATCGACTATGGTGGTCGTCGTAGTCGTTGTTGTTTCGTTATTGTCTTCACGAGAACAGGTGCGGAGCCTTTTCGATATGCCTGCCACCCCAGTGGTCTCGTATGGGTGGTAACCTCGAACACCATTGCGTAGTGGCTAGGTCTGGAGCGAGTTTGATTCTTGGCGAGGTGCATTTGTTCCCCATTTCGTGCCTAGAAAGTAGGTGTGGCAAGCGCTTGCTCATGAGTAAACTACAGGGAAGGACGGCTGAACTTTTTTCGCGTTAAAAAATTATAGAAAAACCGAGGGGAGCTGCTGTACTTGACCCCGGATCGGAGCTCTTTGGAAAGATACAGTAGATAGAGTAAGGAAGGTCATAGGAAGGTTGGAAGTTGGAATGACAGTACAGGAGGAGTAAATAGTGGTCTGGTATTGATGACCGTGCACCGGTGTGTGGGAAGGACGGCGTATATATATTTTCGTTTTGCACGCGTGCGTACTCAGGCAGGAACCTGCGCCGACGGGGGGCCGATACAGGATTATAGCGAAGGCAACCCTCTTGGCCTCTTCCTCTGTTGTTGGTTTGGGCCGCCCAAAATGTGCTGTCGTCATCGTCGGCCCTCCTTTCACAAGAATCGTGACACGGCGAAACGTGGGCGAGCTCGAAAATAACACGAGAAGTGTGGAGCCTCGGTGGCGAGTGCCACACAGAAAGCCCCACATTACGCGCGCAATGCTCGGCGTCTCCGCCTCAAATATTTTGTCTGCCTGAACTTTTTTTATTCTCCTCGGATTGATCATCAAAAAGAAGCGTGGCGGTGTCGCACCACGCGCCCTCCCTTGCTTCTCCTTCACTCTGTCGCCTCCAGTGGATTATCAATAAAAACTAGTATGACCATGTACCCCTATTCTCAGAAAGTATACAGTCAACCACAGCGAGACTACCCCGTTCTAGATATAATAATACTACGTAAGTGTGGTTGCTCTTCCTACAGCGGCAGCGTCTGTCTGTTGTCATATCCACACAACAAGTTGTAGGGTTTTAGGATCGTATCTATCCAAGAGAGGGGCTCTCTCACGCGTATATGTCTATACCTTCAAGTACAACGACATCATACGGGTCTGCCTGCCTATTCAGGGCAGGGCAAGCACATTCACGAGCAGCTCTTGCGCCACACTCTGTCTGGCGCCATGTGTATGGATGTATGCATACGTACTGTAGTCTCAACGTCGGTCGGTGGAGGTGAACCTTGGGGGGGGGGGGTCGGCGCACCGGGCGCGGCGGGGTGGGGGGTGGCATGGATGACCATGATGACCGCAGCAGACATTGCTGCTGTTTCATACCCTGCCAACCATGAGGGCTTTGTACCGTGCCTGTACGGCGGTGCTCTCAGTGCTGCTGGTGGTTTGCTGCGTGGAGGCCTTCATTTTCAGTTCTTCACCCAGATATGCTCGCTCTCCTCAACATGGACGGCATCGAACCTGCGCGTTACGGCTCAGTGCTAACGAAAAGTTTCCCTTGAAGAACGACCTTTTAGTGCGCGCGGCCAAGGGAGAAAAGGTGGAGCGTACTCCGGTGTGGTTGTTCCGACAAGCTGGAAGGTACGTAGGCACCTATGCATACGTGCGACCCAATAATGATTGGTATGTGTTTGTATGCATAGAGCGAACATGAGAAACATGAGCGGATGCGCGCCACTTGCCCACCTCGACACATTCCGCCGCATTTTTGCGAGAGCTGTAGCACACATGTTTCATGTCCTGCTGTAGATGCAACAGGTGAGTGTGCTCTGCTGCTTGTACTGCTATTATGGCGCTTTGGATGGAGGGTTACGGGGTTCTGTGTCGCCTTCGCTTATCCAGTTTATCTTTGCGCTGGCTGTTGGATCATTATCTACTCTCAACTGCACACGTGTACACCGATACACCGACACACCGACACACCGACGCGAATCATGGCGGGCGCTGAAAATGGTTGCCTCCGCACAGACCCAGAGACAGCATCTTTCCCGGTGAACACTCACTCTTAACATTTTCAGCGTGCACAATTAGTGCCCGTGACACTTTCCGCCATCGCCCGACAATTGTATTTCTCACCTGTATCGTCCGTTTCCTCCGCTGCGGCTGTAAACATGAAACATGAACAGGCATCTACCCGAATATAGCGCCTACAAGAACGAGAAGGGAAAGAACTTCCTGGAGTTGCTGCAGGTGATAAAAGGCCAGCAGCTTCCAGTATAAAAAAATTCGTGTCTGGTTTCAAATGCCGCACGCGTCTATGGTTTCCAGGATGCCAGGACCCTGTATGCAACCGTGACGATCAGACGCGTTTTTGGTGGGAAGTGGGAGATCCGATCGGTTCACAAACGTACATTTTTTGTCCGGAAGGAGGCACCTATTAATACCGGTTTCCTCTCTCTCGTTTGTGTGCCGTGTGTTGCACATGTTTCAGGACCCAGATGACGTTGCGGAGGTGACTATGCAGCCTATTCGGAGATACAACCTGGATGCCGCCATCTTGTTTTCCGACATCCTCGTGGTGCCACAGGTATGAGATTGATTGCAACTGCTGTCAGGGAGTGCTCCGATGTGGCTCTGTGTTTGATGATATTTGAAGCTTGAGGACCAACGCCCAGTCGTGGGGAGTATGCCGCTGTAAATGCACTCATCTGTCGAGTTGCTCTATCTTCGGTCACACCCGACATGAACACCTGTTCGTTCAGCACATTCGTTCGCTTGTCTGCTCTACCCAAAGGCATTGGGAATCGATGTGGAAATGCCGGGTGGCGTAGGAATCCTGGTGCCTCATCCTCTCAAAGACCCCGCTGATTTTGAGGCCCGCATCCCGAAGGAGGTGGACGTGAAGGATAAGCTGTCCCACGTGATTCAGGCGGTCACGCGCATCAAGGAGGTGAATCAACCAAATGGTTTCGACCAAGCTTGCATTAGTGCTCCTTCCATGATAGTCGACTCAAGTACCACGACGGAGCCTCTGTGTGCGTACGTCCCGCAGTAGGCGACATCGTCAGTCTTGAATTCATCGCAACGCTCGAGGTTCATTGTCTCTTTGTGTAAGGGTTCGGGTTGCGAAACCACTCGTCGCTTCATAACGGATATGCGCCGCCAACGTGAGACACGCCGTTGTGCTGTGACTAAGGAGCTGAAAGGAAAGGTGCCATTGATCGGCTTCAGCGCAGCACCGTGGACGCTCATGTTCTACATGGTGGGCGGCAGCAGCAAGAAGAACACCGACTCGGGTGAGAGGAACAAAAAGTCGGTAGGCGAAGTAGAGTGAGGAATGCGATGCATACACTGCGACGGTTTCCCCTCTGTCAGCTGTCTGTTGTTCTGCCGCGCTGTTTCGAGTTGAAGTATGAAGTATGAAGTATGAAGTATGAGCACATTCGTTGTCCGAGGCACGCGCTGGTTCTTGATCCTACTCGTCCAGCAGCAGCAGCAGCAGCAGCAGCAGCAGCGGCAGCGCTACGGCATCCGACTGTGCATTCAACCGCGCAGTAGCGGGGTATGCCACTACTCGATGTAATGCAGTCTTCGCGATGTTGACTTCACTCACTGTGCAATCACAGGGGAGAGGTGGCTCCAAGATCATCCTGAGGCTTCAGCAAAGATGATGGACTTGCTCACTGGTGTAGTCATCGACTATATGGCAGCGCAGGTGCGTGCGGTAAACCTTGTAGGTGTTGCATCGTGATATGTGTCTGGCAAGCGCTTGAGTAGCGCGGGTTGTTGTCAGCCATGAAGCAGGACGCATCCCACCTAATAGTTTGAAGTACACGCGCGGGAATAGCACCCCTCGTGTTCCACCACTCTCGACAACTCAAGCCCCGCACTCTTGGTCCATATTTTTGGTGTATGACCCAGGTGGAGGCTGGGGCTGACATTCTGCAGGTGTTCGAAGCCATGGGTGGGTTCATTAGCGAGGACCACTTCTATGACCGAGCCATGCCGTACCTGACCAGGTAATATATGAGCTGACCTCGCTGTGGCCCTGCATCCGGCTATTTTCGTCAAGTCGTCTCAATCGGCCGCTTGAACACAATCGGCCATATCCTCCGCCTTCTTCCAAGCAACTGGTCGTTGGTTGTTCACGGTCATGATTCTGATACGTGTGATTAAGGAGCGGTATTGGCCAATCGATGAATTGGTGTCCCTTCCCTCTTTTTAAAACAAGGCTATCATGAATCAGATCTTCGTTTTCGCTCTATGTCTTATGAACTAACCAAGCACCCGGCGTCCCTGGAAATTGGATATCACTCGCCTCAATATCAAACCCGGTCGTTGTTGTCTCTATTCACCGCGTGTTCTTTGGATCAGGATTGCATCTGAGCTGAAGGAGCGGTGCCCGGGAGTGCCGTTGATGGTTTTCGCGAGAGGTGCCACGTACGCTAACGTCGCTTTGCAGGTGACAACGGAATGTTCGTTCGTGTTGAGCCTTGGTCAACTTTATTACGTGCTCGACCCATGTATCAAGACCGATTGGTGTCTTGTCTCACCACAATGATGGAAATACCGTAGAAGAGGTACGCCAACAGCGTGCCATTTGGACTACGATGTCATCTGGTGCACTGTTTATCGCACTATTGGCCACTCCGTTGTGTTTGTAGGCAGCCGGGTACGACGTGGTGACCATGGACACTGAGACGGGGCGAAAAGCTACCCGTGATGCCCTGGAAGAGGCAGCGAGAGAGACCGGGAGGGAACCAGCGGTGGTACAGGGCAACTTCGACCCGCGGCTGCTGACTGATGAAAGCTCAATGAGCGAAATCAACGTGAGTGTCTCCTGTTGGTATACTACGCATAGAAGAACCTGCTTTTTCCCGAAATCCACCGAAAATCATGTTTTTCTGGTGCTGAGTGTCGCTCGCTAAACCCGATAACCGGCACGACTGAATATTCTTGACGTGCATCGCAACAACCCACAACCCGCCAATGCAGGTCCGCGAGGCGACGGAAACAATGATGAGAGAGCTGGGCCCCCAGAAGCTCATCGCGAACCTGGGTGAGGGTCTAATGGGAAAGGAGGACCCCAAGAGCGTGGCCGCCTTTGTAGACGCCATTCACGATTACTCGGAACAACTGATTCGGACAGGAGCCGCGGCGGAGACAGCCGCAGCGCACTAGTCCCTTGGGATCCATAGTGTCTAAATAGCTTTTGGCTGTGTTAGGGTTGAAGATCCGTAGTCTTTGGTCTCTGGAGCTATTATAGTGCTGTTGCTGACGTCCACTAATCGTAGGTAGGAGTCCATTTGTTGCATTTGAGCGGCCGAGTAAGTTCTTGTCCACCTGCTCGCCGGATTTCAAAACTGGCGACACTGGTGCAATCACGCAACATTTTTTTTTTATGTCTCTCGTTTGCTCAATACACTACGAAGGCGACGGCGATCGGAGAATAGGAGCGTTCGTCGCATGTTCGTTAGTGTAGCAGATAGCAGCACAGCAGTCACTTTATCTTGTCAGCACGAAAAAACGTGACAAAGCACGTTTTGCAGAAACAAAACACACAGACAAACGTGTTTTATACAGGTGCTTGAAACGTGCAGGAAGCACGTTGATATGTACAAGACGCCAAAATGCAGAACGCAGCCCCCGAAACTTGATATTCACCTGGATCCACCTAGACCAAAGCACTTGAAGCCTCGTGCTTGCGATCCGCAAGGAGATGCTTACGATCTATCATCTCCTTTCAGCAGCGCTTAGTTCGAATTCCGTGGATGTCAACGATCGATCCAAATCCAACATCAAGCGCCCTATTGGGCGACGTTCCCGCATATTTTTCGCCAACAGTTCCATGGCTGTGCGCTCCGCCTTGAAGATTTTTAAGTTTTCGAGAAACGCCCATTTCTCCGTCCTCCTCAAGTCGTCTTGCGACATGTAGGGCCAAAGGCCCTTGAATCTCCGGCGCATGTTGAAATAGTCGGCGCCACCACCCTGTGCACAGACCACGCAGCATTAAGGACAGAACATTGACGTGAACATGCAGAGTACCAAACTTTGTGCTGCTGAGAGGCTGCCAAGACCACCTGGACGGTCGAATACAGCGCCAACACATCGGTGTGTTTCTTACAAGAGTATGGAATCGGTCCATCACCGAAGAACATGGGAGATAAAAAAAAGGCTAGCAACATCTCACCACATCAAAGCCGTTCGCCATCATCTCTCCAGCGATCCCGCCCATCGAAGTCAACGCCATACGATTCGACATCGCGTGTCGCCCCTCTGTATCAAACGGCGCTACTCGATCCTTGTGAGGAATCTCCGACGACGAAAAATCCAGCTCCACCAAGTTCTGTAATCGCGCTGGATCTTCCCACGGGTACGTCATACGCGCTTCGAGTCTTGGTTCCGGCTCCGACGCTGGCCCCGTGAGGAGCTCTTCCGGAAGCCATATTCTAGCTGTACTCAACTCCGCGTTGATAATGTTACAGCTAGGACCACATCCAACCTCGTCTCCGTGCTGTAGTGAGCCCAGCCCTCCTGTGGCAACGCGCGTTGGTGTGAATGAGATCGATACACACGACAACCAAGGTAAGGGCCGGCATGAGGAAAGCATCTTCTTGTCGAACACAGAATGCCACTGTTGGCCTCAGGCAGGAGGCTACAGGTAACACCCGGAGCTCGCAGAGCGTGCAGCGTGCACCCACACCAGGAAACTGGAAGCATTGTTGGCGTCAGCCTATCCACTGAGGTCCAAATGTAGTAGTGTAGTTGTGGGGGTACCACAAACACGGCACGGGCAGTACGATGCCCGGAAGGACCACATTAAGTATCTCGTGTCCTACCCCCCAAGACCTCACCAGCCCTGCTCAACGCACGAGCCACCGAGGAAACAGGACAAGTAAGCACATCATGCAGATGCATAGCTCACCAAGCGTATACGTAGCCACAGGGAGACCCGTGAGATACGCAGCGGCGACGTGTCCAGCTTCGTGTGCAGAGGTTAACTGCGTCAGCATCGGCTGAACCCGAATAATCGCCTCGCTGTACAGTGCCGAGTGCAGGACCTCCTGAAGAGAAGCGGAGCATCGACATACACCGACATGCACACCCAAAACAGGGGAGGGACAAACGCCGCGTCAGGTAGGGCCTTGCCCAAGATTTCCAAGTGGACTACCAGCTGCACAACTAACACGGATTGCCAAGAGGATGCGAAGGCATCGACCACAAGACGCAAACCTCGTCCAAATTTTGCACGCAGTGCACCATGGTACCGGTGACGGCCACAGACAGGTTGGACTCTAGTATTTAGAAGAGGTGCGGTTTTAGATGCTTCGTTTCGCCATGGGTGGGGTCTCTCTCGCCGTCATGCCATCATGGCTCGAGGTACTTGGCGACACCGGCCGAGACGTTATTTCCACCCGCCCTAAAAGTTGCTCACCCTCTCGAAGGCCACGAAGGTCAGCAGGAGCATCCCACTCCATGCCACCTGCCCGTCACCTCCCGAAATAACATAGGACATCGTGGAAACTAAAAACGCCCCAATGAGGGTGTAGTAGGATAAGCTCTGCGAAAACGAGAGAAACATGATTTCACGTTGGGGGGGACGGGGGGGGCAAAAAAAACGTCAAATAGGGTAAATTATGTGAGACACACTTTCCAGCGCAAGGCTGTTGGTGCTTGTGGGGAAAACAAACGTTCAAGGGGTACGACTGACTGCTTCCGCACGAAAGGCACTGGGCGTTACTACTGTAAAATGGGATATGTGCATACTGCATACATACATGTGAGGACGATACTTCCACACAGAGTTTCTCTCTCACGACCAATCAACAACAAAACAAAAACTCACCCTCGCATCAGTTTCGAACTGGGCAGCCTTGAATATCGGTGAGTCTTCCATACCCTCAACGGGCTCAGGGACGGTTTCCGTGGGTGCCAACTCGGTATCAGGAAGCTTTACCATGCCGAACCTGAATAGATGTCACACGCAGTGGAATTGGGGAGGCAATTCAGTCATGATGGAGATGGAGACACCAGAGACGATTGCGTATAGTTGGTAAACCAAATGTGGGATGAAGTTTAAGGTTTAGGGTCTGTGCGGCAGGCACATTCATGTCCAGCTGTAGAAGACGAAAGTGAGGAACGACCTCTGGTCTTACCCTTCCAAGTAATACGAATGTTTGAACAAATACATGTAACCCCAGAACGTAGTGATTCAACTCAGCGGGTAACGGAGTCTGGCAACGACGTACACCTGTCAAGATTGGACAAGAGCATGGATTTTGCGTACGTATCTCAAGGGTATGCATAGGACTATTCAGTCTACAGTAGGGTCTTTCTAGCGAGCATGGCTAGACTCACCCTCAAGGGACCGATACCTTCTTGCTGCTGCGCACCCGCCGCGAGGCGTACGTAGTGGTAGAGTTGGGTCGGCACTGGTGCGTCAGGTACAAAAATGCAGATGCGCGGGCCTCATGGCCGTCGGTGTAGACAGCAATGTCCATCTCAGTTTTGTACGCGGAGGCAGACGCCATCAGAAAGGTGGAAGGGCACTATGTACACGGCCCTAGGTTTGCTAGAGGGAGCTGTACTGTCTCAGTAACCTGGCTTCGCCATCAAAGGGGAGGAAGGAACAGGTGGTGACGAGCTGAGTGGGCTGGTTGACCCTTCGGCGCGAGAATTTTCAGACCAAAACCCCTAAATGCAACGAGGGAGAAAGCGAGGAACCGACTGGGAAGGACAGCAACGAGAGCGTGTGCGGACGGAGCGGGTCGATATTGGTCGTGCTAGGACTGGCCGCAGCGACACGGCGCCGGAGCAGCGGCACCGGAGCAGCGGCATTGAGCAGCGGCGCCGGAGTACACGGACGACATCGAACCGTGACACACGGACGAACATTCTGTGTTGTCAAATATTTTCGTTTTTTTTCCTGAACATTGGTGTGTATGTGATGACGTCACTGGTTTTGTAGAGAGACGCGGCAGAGATGGCGCGGATAGCCCGGGTGCCTTTATTGTGTGCCTGCATCGTGGAAGACCCCTTCAATGTGGAACGATTCCTAATCAGTGTCGATTATCTACACTGCTGTGTCCAACACAGATGATCAGGGGTAGATTCGGTGATTGTCAATTGCAATGATGGCTTTGGTTGGTTGTTCTTTTTCACTGTATGTCCACGGACGCATTCTGACAGCACTTCAGACAGCAGTTGCGCGCCCCGAACTTGTACCATGCCTACCATGGTGTTGTGTACAGGCAGAACTCCAGACAGCTGTACGCTGTAGTCGACATTCGTTTTGGTAAAGTGTAGGACAGGGGGGATGATGCTGCTGTAGTCGAATGTAGTGTGTGGACAGGTAGTTCAGTTTTTGGGCACGCAAACGTGCTGCAGGTATGTAGGTGTACCTCTTCGGGCTTGTGTACCCTTTTCTTGCTAGTTTGCGTGTTCCTTGGATCTTCTGATGGCTCTAGCATTCTTGTGACCACGGACCGCGTCTTTGCTAGATTTTGGGATGAGCAACTGACACGAGTCTATTGTGAAGACAACAACAACAACAACAAAGGGTGCAAGTCACACCTGGTGAAAACGCCGAACCGCCGGAGCGCCTCGTATACGGCTAGGATAGCCAAAGCTCCGATCGCGGGACGAATCGGGGCGGGCAGCCACCACACCGTGTCCAGGTATCCCAGCGCCAGGGTCGCACCCGCTCCTTTGTGCTGTTCCTCGCAGCGGTCCAAGATTCTCTTGATGGCTTCGGCGTTTTCTTCGTCCGGGGCCGGGCTGAGGACAGCGTCCATCAACTGGCCCACGTGGGCTTGTACTGCCTGAGAGAGCGGACGGGCGGCGGCAAGAATGAGGATGAGGGGCCGGGGTGATTGTCGTTGACGTTGCAAGTAAAACAGATTATCGATGGTCATCGTGCGTTGCCTCAACGAAATTTGCGTTCCGGCGACGTTGTGAGTGGGTGAGTGAGTGAGTGAGTTGCATGTACGAATACACCAGGGTGTGTGAAATGCAATACCGGCGGGTGGTAGAACAAGCTCGGGGTAATATGTATTCCGCCAATTCTAGAAGTATCCAAGGGGAACATGCTCACCAAGTGCCAACGCCCACAACGGCCAAAACTTCTACGCAAGGGGTCTAAATTCTCGGACACCACACGTCCATATACGACTTTCTACATGTCGGCTGAGGCGCTCTCTTCGGGCTATTTCTACTGTACTGTACATTTCTATGTAGGTATTTCGATAACTAGCGGGGCACACGTTCAAGCGTAAAACCGTATGTGGAACATTATATTTTACCCCCGTCGTAGAGCTACAATACAATCGTGCTCGTAGCTGACCTTATTAAGAGCGCGTTTCCCTGTGGAGGTGGAGCTCTCCCCTGAAGGGTTCAAGTACCGAGCTGCCCCTGCAGCTCCAGACTTTACGGCCAGCACCACCATCTGGCGGTAAACGGGGTTCACCCTTCCGTCTCCGCCCATCGCTTCTTTCACCGCCTAAGAAGTGAGAGACAAACAATGACAATGCAAGAGCACCCAAACCGAGGGACGGAACTTACACAAGACCTCTGTGTCGCGGAAACGCAGCGACAACAGCCGCCATGCACTTTTGCACCGACTAACAATATGCAACTGGTTTGCTTCTGTCTTTCCAACAGAGATGAGGGACAACTCGACGCAACACTGCACTCTATTAGGCTGCCAACGCAAACACGAATGCACCTTTCGGCATTTTCCAGCCGTTTGATGCAGCCTACTTCCTACCCTTGGTCACTGCAACAACAAGTACGTCCGGTTTCAGTGCTGCCGCCCTATCGAAGGCGAACGTACAGCAGCAGCCCTGCCGACTTGGTGCCATACTTTCTATCCACAATTTACCTCAATTGGGTTGAAGGAGCTAGCCATCCTGAGTTGCGTAGAGGACATGGCATGGCGCCTGCTGGAGGCGGGTGTGCCCTTGCTTGAGCTGGGAAACGACGTGACCTTGGACGAGGTAAAAGCGTACCCAAACCCTGCGTGCGTGTGTTAGCAGACACGCCATGAGAACGATGTACACGTTGGCCAGCGGGTAGAGATGCAGAGTTGAAGGTTATGGGTGAGAGCTGTATCATTGCATATTCATACCCTTCGATAAATATTTACCTTCTCGTGTTACCCAGCAACTAGCGGTGCTTTTACTGCATCTTTGGATTGCTGCTGTATAACACAGCTGTGTTGGCTTGCGTAGCGACAAAGCACGACTGCGCTCACTAAGAGAAAAATAAATAACCAGTAGCGCCCAGCCTCACCCCCCCCCCTCTGCCAAGCAGCGCTCGCAAAATCATGTTCGACAGCACGGGGCTATGGGCATCGCATGCGGGGCGGTGTCGGGGAGTGGCCTTGGGCGAAGAGAGGTGCGACATACGACAGCAGATGGTGCGTGCCGGTACACGCCTTGCTGAGCCCTGTGTGCTGCTTGAATCACGCCGCATTTCGGCACCTCTTGTTCTCATGAGAAATGATAGCGTCACAAGAGGTACCAGCCCCCCCCCCATACCAGAAGTGAGCCCGCGAGAGAAAACACGGGACGATTGGCCCCATATCACTGTGTCTACCAGCTACCAATAGTCTAGGTTGAGAGGGGACGGCAGCGAGGGTAGCAGCTGACACACACACGCGCAGCAGCACCGATTTAAAAACCACGCACTCATCCATCCATTGCACCACCATAGATAGCCATAGCGAGGGCCACTCACCCCTCTGGAACCCGACCCCAATGGAGGCTATTAGCCCGAGGGCTGTCCATGGACGCATGGCATGAAGCACAGCAGGTATCAATTGGACAACGTTGCGTTGCTGCGCACCTAGTCTGTGAGCTGCACAACGCAATGTTCTGCACAGCCAGCACAAACAGGGGGGTAGGGGGGGGCACGCGCCAGTCAAAACCGTGGATAGAAATGTGTAACTGCCGTGCCCCATTTGTTTGTGTTTTGTTCGAGACACATCGACTTCAACACGCTGCTCGGAGCACGATCGTACGCGAGACACACGCATAAGGTATTCAACGGCTTGATACAATCGGTGCTGGTGTACCAACGCCGTCAAAGTATGGAGGTAAGCGAAGCTGCGTGTTACGTGTGGTAAGAGTCAAGGAGCAGCACGTGTGTAAGATGTCGAATGTTGTCGGTGCGGTATGGTACTCCATACAGCGCAGCATCTCCGTTTGTCAACAGTTCGTACTTTTGGAATGGTCCGTGTACATCTTAATAGCTGCTCCACACCTAGCGCACATCTTCAACCTGAGATTCCTTCACTATGTGGCAGCTCCTGAAGTCGGCGCCGAACAGCAGTGTAGTCCAAAGACAATACGGTATGTCCACGGACGACAGCAGTAGGGATACTGTACCTACGCGAATCTATCGTCTTGAAAGATGCGGCGCGACAGAGAGCCGGGTTTAATCCATACCACGCCCAACAGACGCTGTAGAGTCAGTGCTGTGTTCTCCTAATGATCACGCCGACTTGTTATACAGCAATTGGGCAGGAATCTTCAAAGAAGCGTGAGACACAACAGCATGGTCGGGTGAAAAAATGAGAGTCGACCTTGCGCACGCACCAAACTGTTGAAACACCGCCGTTGCCCTTGCAACTAACATTTGCAAGCATGCCATGAGGTCAACTCTCGGCGCAGTCACATGAACCAAGATATACCTGCAAAAAAATGTGGATAGCGAGTCATTTGTGTGTACACCCGCCCGGCTGATGGTCCAATATCCTACGGGAAGGTGTACAAGTCAATGGTCGACGTCCAGATAAATCGGGTGACAACCCAACCCAACACGCAGTCAGTAGTTCACATTTCGGAAGGTAATGGGTTGTTCTGGAACGCGTGCGATAGCTGTGATGCCCCATGAGTTGAGTGGACACACACTCTCCTCGAGCACCTGCTATCAACGGAACATATGCATTGTGCTCGGCAACTGTTTTGACCTTCTTGTGTCATGTCTCCCGCTCCTGCAGGTCGCATATCTTTACACCAAGGTCCGCTCCGAGTTCGGCAAGCACTGCTCCTTCAAGGACGTGCCGGCATTCCTCTTAGAAACTGTGCCGTGCTCCACAGAGTACGATGATAACTATGTCGCGCGGAATCCCAGCGTCGCCGAGCTGGACACTTCACCACATATGTCGGGTAAGAAAGCAAAGGCTCGACAGCATGCCTGCTTCGTAAAACACCACGAGCTCCAATCGTCGTGGATTATTTGGGCTCCACTACTTTTTACTTTTACACGCGCCGATCCCTCTCGTGTAAGTCTAGCGCAGCCAGCCAGGTTAGCTCGTACCCACGTGACCGTTTGCTATGGTTTTATTCACAACTGGTTGCTATAATGTGAAGACCATGTACTGCACTTGTCCTGTCCGGGAAACACACGTGTCTCGATCGGTTCTGTGTTGATCAGAGCACGAAGCAAACACGGAGAGGTTGATCACGAAGCACACATCGATGCGGCACGTTGAAGGAGGCTGGCCAAAAGATGTCGATTTCACAGAGCAGGTGTGTAGGTGAACTGAGTACGTCGGGTGCCGACTTGTAGCGCTCGAAAGAAACACGCATCATGTAGACTAGACACGACATACAGCCTTAACCCATCAGATCACCGATCGATGAAAAGGTTTCGTCTTGCGCCCGCAGACGGGGGGATAATATTACAGCTGCATGGTACAGTGCGTTGATGGCACCAAGGACACGTAGCGAGGAGGTCAAGCGTAAGGCGACACCGCGGCTGTATAAATTGTTCGATTTTGTTCCTATCTATCTGTAATATTCGGATCGCCCCCACAGTTCTTACAGGCACGAGCCCAACAGTCTGCCCCAATACAGTTTTACATTCCCAACACCGAAGGTTCTACATGTGGCATTTACCGCTGTCGATCGAGTCCCCGGTTGTGAAAGCAGTTAATGAGCAATGGAAACCTGAACACTCACCCATCAAAACATGGATTACTATGTTTGCTGTCGCTGCAGTCGGACGTGAACCGGTTCCGAAAGAAGGCAGAAAAGGATGAGGATTACAAGATTGCAATCAAGAGCCTAGGGCCTATCATCGGGCGGTGCATGAAGCAAAACAACACTATCGATATCTACGAGGTGAGGGAGCCGATTCATGACAGAACGAAACAAATGGCTCATCTTGTCGCTATTGACTCTATTTGCATCGTATCTGTGCTGTCGAAAACTACTAACATTACTAACAGTATTGGCCTACGCAATGAAGGGCATCGGTACTGTAGTAGAGCTTGCGAATGCTTGGGATGAAAGTTCCAGAAACCGCACTTTCTGTCTGTGACATCTGTGTGCCTGTAGGAGTACTTCGATGGAGACGAGGTGGATCATTCCAGCGAACCACCAAGCGCGAAGGGGTTGGCGGTTTTCCGTGACCCTAATGCAGTCAACGGCATCAAGAGGACGGCGACATCAATCAACTGGCATCCCGATGGGCCGACGAAGATTGCCGTTTCCTACAGGTTGGACTAAGCGGGGCCATTCTCTAACAATATTGTTCACCTTGGAAGGAGACTATTGTACTGTGTTTGGGGAAACAGCAATGGCTGTGAAACACAATCGTGCTCAAACGCACGGAACATTATTCGGAACCATGATCGACGTTGGTCACACTGCTCATGACTTTCTTCCCCTGTATTCCGTGAAACGATCCACCTTCGGACTAACGGTCTGCTTGAATTCTATCCCAGTATTCTCAACTTCCAAGACCCACGGTTCATGAACGCGCGGATGCCGGTCCAGTCTTATGTGTGGGATACGATGAACCCGAATACCCCGGACGTGGCACTCACACCGCCGAGTCCATTGTGTTGTCTTCGATTCAACCCCAAGGTGAGAGCGAGTCAAAATCAAACGAATCAACCGACATCGCCCCCGCGTGTAGACAGGGTGCCATCGAATCGGACCGTTGCGCGCAGCATGCCATTGTGTTTGCTCGTCAGCAGGTGGGGGAAAAAATCGAAGTCTTTCCTTCGTATTGCCACACCCCACGACTCTGCCATGTTCAAGCTAGGAAGGAGTCAGTCCGGTGCGTCTCTTCCGAATGCAAACAACCGAGGCCTGGCCGATTTCTCATAGAGTTGGTCAACTCAACAAATTCTTTGTCTGTTCTTGGAATCATTTCTGTGACGCTAGAGTACGGACAACTTGGTGGGCGGATCGTACAACGGGCTGATCAACTTCTTCGACCTGCGAAAGCCCGGCGCTACGATTGGACAGGCGGTGCCGCTAGAGACGTCCGTGATCGAAAAGAGTCACCATGATCCAGTCTATGACGTCTTCTGGATTTCCTCGAAGACAGGTACGCTGCATACATACATACTGTACTTTGTCTACAAACTGTGTCGGCACAGCGGAGAGGTGCTGGAAGGAATCTTACCGTGAGGCGGGGGAGGAAACATGTCTCTCTTTTTCAGAACAACGGATCCATCAGCGAGTGGCATCTGTGAGGTGTCGTAAACCTACATCAATAAATATTGAACAAGCCAGAGGCTACACCAGCTGCAAATGTTGATGACCGCTTTTGACCATATCATGAAGAGGCACGGAAGATACGATACGAAGGATGGCGGCCGTAGTTATTAGTGCGACACAGCACGCGCGTTTCCGACCCATCGTCAATATCTGCCAGCTCTACCACCGTCTGAAAACATACTCAATCTTTGTGACAGGCAACCAGTGCGCATCGGTGTCAACGGACGGCCAGATGATGTGGTGGGACACTCGTCGATTGGGCGAGCCCACGGACACGTTGCAGCTGGCGACGGATTCTAAGGGGGGTGGAATGGTCCTCGGCGGAAGCTCGATGGAGTACAACCAGGAAGCGGGGCCGACTAAGTACCTTGTGGGGACAGAACAAGGCATCGTGCTGCAGGTGAGAAAGCCGACTTCGCACGTGCAGTAGCGAGCCGTGGGCGGGGTGGATGTACCATCATTATCGGGTAGGTGGGGGATCGAAGCCATTTGTGGTTGTGTTGCCAAAACGGCGAGTGAGCGGTCACGAAAGAGAGTTGTCTGGGGTTGTGTATGGCACGTTTCTCGGGCCCGCATATTGAGTGTTGTAGGCGCGCGTGTGTAGTACGCATCTAGTCGACACATATTTGTCGCTCGCGATCGGTACGAGTTTTCGTTGTTGAGGTAAATCTTTGCGCTCAGACAGGGCATCTCGACCGGGACTACCTCCTTCCTTTCTGTTGTCTGCAACCGACATTGTTGTCAGGTCAACCTTCGAAACAGGAAGCAGAACAACGGTATTAGTGTGTTCGACATGGGCGCGGGTAAACACCACGGTCCGATCTATAGCATCCAACGTAACCCAACTCAAAACAAGTACTTCATGACCGTTGGTGATTGGACGGCGAGAATATGGGCAGAGGACCTCAAGACCCCAATCATGACCACGAAGGTGAGAGCGTTCCCTTTCTTTTTTGCGGTGCTGCGCCTACAGAAAGCGTTCACCAAGTTGTATTGTGTCGCGAATGCTTGGCGGTGTTTCAGAATACTGTAGGGGCTGTGGGTCCCTTTCATGTTCACCACGTTTGACTTCCGTGCAATCGATCCATCCAGGTCAAATTGGTGAGCGAGAGTGACAGTGATACAGAACATTGTGAACAACTCCCATAAACCCATCGCTCAGTTATTTATCGTGTCCTATTTATGAAGGGGGGCATCCTGTGTTGCCTTGCGGCACGTCGTACCCGTCCCACCGCAGTACCACAGCGCATACTTGACGAGCGGGTGTTTCAGTCCGACGAGGGCAGGGGTATTCTTTGTTACGAGGATGGACGGGGTGGTCGACATCTGGGACTACTTCTACCGTCAGAACGAGGTCGCGTATAGCCACAAGGTGGGCACATGTTTTCCCCCGTCAAAAGTATGGTCAAAATGCCTAGTTCGGAGCTTGCAGGCAATCCGCAAACGCGTCTCCCCCTCCTAGCTACGCAGAAAACAATGTCTGCCTCCCTTGTTCAGCTTTACTGAAGAATGCTTGCAACCAGGAAGACTAGAAGCAAGACAAGGGGTCTACCCTCATGGATCCCACTCAGCTGAACGCGCCCCGGTGAACACAAAAAAAGATTGTAACACAATTTTTTTTGGCAGGCCGCAATGTTGAAAATGTATTTCCTCTACACACCGTAGATGGGAGTACCATCCACACACAAAATAGGGCAATACTTACTCTTTGACACAGCGCTCTAGACACCGGGCCATATACGTGCCTGTATGTCTTTACCCTCGTCCTCATGATGCGACACCGTTCTGTCGACTTTTTCTCCGGGGCAGTAGGTGGGAGACGCTCCTCTCAGCTCGATCTCAGTACAAGGCAACGTCCAAGTCGGCGGAAAGCTCGTGGCGGTTGGGGACGTAAACGGCACGGTTTCACTCTTGGAGGTAAGCCTACATGCAATCCCTGACCCAGCTCCAACAACAGCGCGGTGACAAGCGTGGGAGATCGATCTCCTTACGTTTCGGCAGCGAGGAAACTCTTGGTGTGTGTCACGAGGCCCGTCTTGCTTTCGGGCATCGTTAACCTTGACGGTGTAAACGCCTCAATCAGTGCGCGAAATCGCCCTAGAATTAGGTCCAGCTACAAAATAGTCTAATCGAGGCAAGATGAGCTTACACGTAGATTCTACTGATCGATGTCGAGAGCAAGCGGCCCTTTTGGTGGGAGGGACACTCTCCCTTCCCTTGGAGTCATCTTCTTCAACGTGTACATACCTCTCCGATCCAAACGTATCTACAAGAACCACCTACGCTACAATTATTTTCAGGTACAGAGTAAATATCATAGTTCGAATAACTCGTGGAAGGGGGGGGGGCGCGTATGTAGCAGGGAGGGTGCCTCGTGTGGTTGACATGTTGAAAAAAGAAGCCGGGACTATATTTCGCGCCCTACGACACATTTCACGGTGGTGGTACGATCAGACGGCGTAAAGCATCTACGGTAGCTCGACCTACGTTAGATGGTGAGCATGTCACAAGCCTGCAAGGACTGGAATTGTTTACCTTTTTCAAGCAGTTTGCGAGAGGATCGTGGAGGAACCAGGGGAGTCACCACGTATGTCATGCAACCGAAACGAACTCTCAACCTTGTGAGATGCCGCCACTGAAGGAGCGACCCACCATTGCACGCTGGCATCCCAGCTCGATCACTGCATATCAACCGACGCTTTCGTCTGCTTGGCAGGTTTGCGAGTCTTTAGCTGTGAGTGCCGGTAGCCAGGAGAAGGGGGCCATTGGCGCAATGTTCGAGAGGGAGATGAAGCAAGAGAAAAACCTCGAGGTGACATGACATAAGTCAAGAGCGTTAAAGGTTATATCCATACCAAGGCAACGCCCCTGAGCTGCCGCCGTAGTTGGTGGCGTTTGTTGTTTCTGGTCACCCTCGAGAGACATTTCCAGAAACCACTCGTGTTTTCTTGCGGATATTCAAGCGTGTCCGTCGTCATCCCCCATTTACAATGCAGGAATTGGAATCACTGTGTTAGTTTTTTCCTAGCCCACGGTCTAACCTCTCCAAGTGAAGTGCTCTGGGGTTACACGGAAGAACTCCGCTCCGATGCAGCCTTTCATAATAATGCGAGAAGCGTTCAATACTTCCTTCAGGGTACCATCACGAACAAGCTTTTCGATAGTGTAGAACTTGCTCGCCGGGATTCGATCGAGGTAAAACTACCAACACGTCCACCGTGGTGGCAGGCATTAGTCTAGACTACGGGGTGTGGGGTTCTTGAATATGTTGAAACATGTGCAGCAAACCAGATTGCGTGATAAACTATTTAGTCGACACGACACGTTGACGTTGTAGAATCGGCCAAAGAATCAAGCCAAGCCAAGCGTTCGAGGGATGCATGCCCTAGGACAATGGATGAACAACGCAACCACTACTTATGTCCCATAGTCTATCGAATGGATCCGTTCGATGTTAATCCTGTCTCTTCCTCTTTGCCCGCACGTGCTCTCCGCCCGGGGCACGTATTCTTTGGGTTCCACAACATTGCCGCATCTAACAGCTCCGGGAGCGAGACTTGCGGCGGGCAAAGGCAGCTGAGCAAGACGCTAAGAATAAAGCTGACGCCGAGAAGAAGGATGGAAAGGATGAACGGATGGAGGAACTTTTGAGAAAGGTGCGGCCATAGTTCACAAGATATAAGGACCGGACTTCTGTAGTAGAACGGGCTCACAAAGACTGGTGCGAAGCTTCAGGGGGGGCGGAGAGGGGGGGGGGTTGCCTAACTCACCAAAGCTGCTTTGCGCAGAAATCCTGCCATAGAGCAGGGGAAATCCTGCCGAAACTGATTTGCTGCAGTTTAAAACGGAATGGTAACGGTACGAGATTCCACGGTCGTCATGCTGTTGTCTTCGCACTCAAACGTGCATATACCCCCCCCCCCGCCCCCGGGGTGGTCCTTGTTCAGAAGCTCAACAATACGGAAACCCGCACCCCCCCACCCCTCTCCCGACATGTCCTCACAAAGGTGGACGCCGATTTTTTGGCAATGATCAAGGAGGCAGAGGACGACGAGAGCAAGGGAGCGGAAGGGGCACCGCTAGACGTAGACCCAGCCGATGACAAGTAGCGCCGTCGCCTTCCATGTACATATTTTTAGGTGATGCTGGTGCATGGTACAAGACCATACACTGCGTGCGTCTTGCGGGTTACTTGGGCAGATTGAGCATGCAATGGATGGCATTACAACAGTAACACTAACCTGTCATTGCGATGAGGACATCGAATGGATTTGGCGTCTCGACTTGAATGCCGCATGGATTTGAGGAGGGACCACGAACGTGTAAGAAATGAATCTGACTTGGGGGCAGTTTCGCAGCTTGGACAACATAGGCGCGTCGAAGCAGAGAGGATGCAACGGCTTGAATACCGCCCCCAGTCTGGCGAGACGGTTGGCGCCGTACACAGAAGAAACGAATTTGAAGTTGATTACCAAAGTTCACCAAGCAAGCTGCTTCTTGAGCCTGGCACGACGCCTCTCGCTGTCATTCCAGGCGCTCCGTCTCCAACATACGGATTATTCAGACCTGCTGTACATCAGCGAGTCCTGACGTGCGACTTCAACTGCACTCTACCGTAGGAGAAGGCAGGCAGTCGATCGGAGAAACGTCGCAGAATATGTTCACGATCCTTGAAATGTAACTTGAAGTTCGAGGTTGCCGGAGTTCGCCTGAACAGCCAGAGGCGGCGATATCACAACCGTGGTATACAACACGGAGAACCCACGACGCTCTGCGCGAAAGGCAAAACGAGCACGCGTTGGTTCAACACATGCGATCCCACTCTCCGTGTCGTTGCCAAGATGTCGACCAACACCGAGGACTCTCTCCCGCAAACCATTCACCGTCTCACCCTTCCACAAGGAATCGATCGTCCCAGACCAATCAACACAATTGAAGCTTAGAAGCGGGGGTGTATCATCCATGTTGCTTTTGAGGGTGCTATGGAATAACGTAGAACGCAGCACTGCGGCAGGCGACGTCGATGTCGGCATTGCTGCTGGTGCACATCAGAACGTGTTCGCCCACTTTGGTGCATTGGGGACCAACTTTGTCGGAGAAACACTTCCTTCCTTGAAGGTCTGGCCCACAACGCCGAATATATAGGTTAGCGCCATGGGCGAAACCGGCTGTGGCGAAGGCGTGTGGAACCGCGTCTATCGCGGGAAGCTAACTTGTTAGACTGCTGTATCTCAGGAGCCTTCGTTCGTTTCCTAGCCTCAACAGTGTCAGACCATCGGATAACACTCTAAATACACAGCTTTTCATCTACGACCTCGACGAAAAAAATCTATGTCATCATCACAGTCGCGCCGCATTTCTGTCTACACGTGGAATCAACACTTTCCGAATAACCAATCATAAACGACCTTATAAACTATCAGGATTGTCCCACGTCGTACCAGAGCAAAAGTGGGCAGGTCTGACACACGTACGCAACACATTCGAAAGTCTCAATCTGTATAAAGCACTCCAGCAATGCTAAATTTCTGCCGAACCAAAATTGCCTATTCATCCATGACAAATAATCTGTACGCTTCCACCCGACCAGGGGTTGGCTCAGAAGCGGAAGTTCTTGACGGTGTCTATGAAGAACGCCGCATTATCTTCCGGCGTTCCTGCATCAATACCGTGTCCAAGGTTCATGACGTGGTTGCGCCCCCCTCCGTCGCGAAGAATCTCCTCCGTGCGCTCCTATGAGTATATTACAACAAGAGGTGGGGCACATTCGAGAGGCTCGGGTTAGATCGTAAGGGGCACAGCAACAACATATCCAAAGACTGGTGTTCGGATGGGACAAAACAATCCTTGGAACTTACACACGTGCAGGACGCGATCATTGCACATTTGAAAGACCCAACACTGAACAGCTCTCTCTGACCCTAACCCAATGTGGCCAAGGATTGGTACAGTGGTGTGATGTACCCATTGTGCCCATTGGAAAACACAAACACAAAACTGTTGCCTAGAGAACAGGAACGACGCTGTGTTGCAAGAGAGAGATCAGTACCTTGATGGTGGCGTGGTCGCCGTGCAAGATGGCCGGGTCGAGGTTGCCCTGGATGCCGATGTCGTCGCCTGCAGGAAGCGAGCGATACCATGACAAACAAGACAAACGGGAGAAGCTGGGTCACAATGTCACAATCGCTACACCGTCGCCAGAAACAACGACGCGAAACGACGCGACCCAACAGGCAGAGGGCAGGCGGTGATCAGCGAGTCGATGGGCATCGCCAAATTGTGGGCGCGTGAATGTGTCGTACCTATCCTCTTGCGAGCCTCCGGGACCGTAACTGTCCAGTCCAGCGATACGATGTCCACGCCAGACGTGGCCATGCGCTCCAACAAAGCCCCGGACTTGTTGATGTAGATGATCACCGGGACCTCGGGGTGAACCGCCTTGATCTTCTCGATCACCATTCGCTGCGGGATACGAAAAGGCATGTTGCGAGTCAATGAGCGCACGTCGGTTGGTGGGATGCGATGGGTCCGGTGGGGTGTTGCCATGGCCATACATCGTGGAATGGAATGCCGAGATGCCGCCCCATTCGAAGCACGACAACCACACGCACGATTCAATGTGTGAAGGCAACAACGCTGCCAAGAACGTCTGTTAACGCAAATTTAGGTCAGCTGAATAGATCTACACGGCGAGGGAACTCTGTCCCAGGCAAACCTTCGTCCACCCTTTGAATGCATGCCGGCACCCACCAGCCAAACCCGTTGCCTCCCGCCAGCATGACTCAGCAAGTCCGTCAGATTGCGTTCGTGTTTCGGGGAAAACCTACTTCACGACGACCTTGAACGGGATACATCATGTTGTCGTGCCTTGCCTCATTTTGGGGGGATATTCCTATTAGAGAACGATCGAAACACTCGGACTACAGGGGAGCCAATGAGCGTGTGAACCTAATTACCTGGTAGGGTGCGGCGAACGTGTCGTAGTCCTTGGGGCTAAGGTGTCCCGCCCAAGAGTCAAACACCTGGATAACCTGAGCGCCGCTGTCCACCTGCCGTGGTTGCCATCGTGCCAAAATAACGAAATAACACAGATTGAAGAACGAGCACTTTCACATTTCATTGCAGCTCTTATGACCTGAGGTTCGACGTACGCGTAGATACAGCAGTGGGGTCTGCTAATGAAATGGGTAAGTTCAGGTAAAGAGAACCGGTAGTTTCATATTAGACGTTAACTCAATACCAAGCAAATCGCGGTACCAATAGTACTTAACACCGTGAACTGAGAAAAAACGTTGCTCGCTTGGTTACCTGGTAGTTGGCGTAGTCGCCGATGGAGTCAGCCAGGCTCTTCAGCATGGCGTGCAGAAGCTTGGGCTCCAGGAACGCCATCTTCTTGATCTCCAGGTACTCCTTGGAGGTCTTGCCCTGTTGGTCGTTGGTCCGGTCCAAGTTCCACCACAGTGTCCAACGCATGACATCGAAAGTGGACGGGAGTAACGTGAACATACTATGCCAGAAACTCAGCTCCTGCCTGAAGTGTGCTACACCGCTATCATATACACAATGCACAATGCCATTTTTTGGCCGCCAATGGCTTCAAGTTTACTGCTGTACGCTGTACCAGGTACCTTTTAAGGGCCCTGAACTCGGTCTTCCCGTGCTGCGAATCTATTGCCACATGTACCCTGCAGTATCATAGAACCTCTAACCACGAGACCTCCTGGCTGACGCTTAGGGGCTTAGAGCTTGGCCTTAATCGACCGGATCGCTGGAATGCCAACCCGCCTAGGGTGGGTCTGGCCAAGCTAATCCTTTCGTCGCAAACGTGATGTACCTTCGGTAACATCGATCCTACAGCAGTAAAGCAACAGCCAAAATAGAATGAAAGACACGCAAGTCCAGCAATGGGCACCTACAGTACCTGGAATCAAGTCCGGGAATGGGCGACTACAATACCGTTTTCCTTTCCTCACGCCAACACTTCCACGGTGTGCAATACGGGGGCTAGCGGCACCTACTCGACATGATATTTGAGAGCACCCACCACCTACGAGCGACATGACCTCACCTCGACCATGTAGGTGGCCAGCGTGTAGGGACAGCCGACGAAGCCGAGCACGGTGGCCTCGTTTCCGACAACGCCCCTCAGCTCGTTGAGAGTCTGTCCCACGAAGGGGCACGCCTTCTCCGGGTCGATGGGGTGCATCTTCTTCATCTGCAAGAGCCGGAACACCCAACGCGTTCATCACACGTTCATCAAACGCTCGCTTGTGAACCCAGGTAGCAGAGCACGTTTGGCGCACGACGCGACTCACCGAGACATGACTATGCGCATATTGCGTACGCCACATGCCACGGGAACGCGAAAAACAACCAAACAGCAGTGGTGCACGGTACAGCCTGGTGCAGCGGGGCATGCGCTATGTCAACAGTCTAATCGAGTGTGAGACAGGCACTCTGACAACAAGCGCCTTCGCAATGCCGACAACTATCGGGCGAAGCGCCCATGCTGGCAAACGACAATGGTTCTTTCAGTGGACAGAGATTTCGCTGACTGACGATGTTCCAAATGAACAGGGTGTGAATGCAAAGCAAGTCCCAAGCCGACGATCGACTGACTCAAGACACGTCGCGTGAGTGCCAGGTGCTGAGACTTACCGAATCCCATGTTCGCATGGGAGGAATCTTCGGCCCCGCCTTCTCCTCGATGGTGAAATCGATGCCCATACCCTGCGATAACCGCGAGACACCCATGGCACACACCAACCAAATTAGGCAGGGTTGAGGGTATATGAGACTTCAACATTCTCCACGCAGCTAGCCAAAGGGGGAGAGTCGCTGCAGTTTCGACCAGTTGGTTGTCATGTGTCGCTATCGTCAGCAGAACGCAGACCGTTGTTGTCCGTCAATCTAGCAGCACCCACCATGACGATGGCGGCATCCCATTCCAACACGCATTCGCACAGTAAGACTTTCAAATCAAGCAAGGGAGTCGAGTCAATTCGTTGAGCTGTAGCATAAACGCACACGAGAGCTGGCACAACGTAGAGTGTGGGGAACATGGATTTGCATCAACCTTACCACGGAGCTAGACTTTCCTATACGCCTATCATAGTCTCCAGAGAGAGTACTTTCTATATCAACAACAGACTTCAGAGAAAGGTAAACCATAGTATGGATACGTCTTTCGTACACATGCAGAAATCGGGCGCAACGTTACAAATCGTCTCCCAGAAAGAGGGTTGAAACACGGTGGGATTGATTTTCTTTCTATATCTGCCTCGCTTACCGGGAGAGGTGTGAGGATGTCGGAGAAGAGGATAACGCCGTCAGTCTTGTAGTTCCTCCAAGGCTGTAGAGAGATCTCAGTTGACAATTCTGGGGTCTCCGACCTCTCCCTAAAGGTAGGGTGCTGCGACGTGGAAACAGGACAAGCTGGGTCAACGACACTAAATAGGCCCCATCGACACTACAACGACACTCGACCATGATAACCGTATCAGCGTACCAAACGCACGTATTGCATGACGTCACGTGGCCGATGTGACGGCGGAAAACCCACCCAGCCTAAATAATACCATTGACGCGCGCACCAGGCCGTTGCTTTGAACATACCGGAGAGCTGCTGCCAGTCTAGTATTCTGCAACATTAAGCCCCGGGGGCAGCGCTGGGAAACGAGTGTCTGCCCACTGCAACCCAATACTCGTCAGGTTTCTTGCTCAAAATACCAATTAGAAACAATGCTACAATCAAAGAACCTACCGCTTTCAAATTTGTTTCTCTTCCTTCTGTGTGCCACAAAAAGCTTCTGAATTATTGCCGAAAGCATGACCTTGCATCGCCGCAGCTTTCTTCACCACCAACATCTTGCTCCAGCTCACAAACCCACCTTTTGGACGAGATCCCGATACTCCTTGATGTGCCTGCCCGCCTGCCGCATCATCCACACCGGCACTCGCTCCACTTTCTGCTCAAACGGTGTCAAGCAAACAAGTAGAGCTGACAACCACGCACACGTTGTTACATTCTGCGAAAAACCCAGAACCAAGAGCTATGCACACGCGTTGCTTCTACCATTCATCACAACTCGGACGCCCAGCAACGTTTTGGAGTCGTACGTAGACTGCTGCTGAGATGGCTCTTGACACATGCATCCCGTACTTCGGGTTGGGTATGGAATAAGGAGCCTGATACTGCCGTACGGTGGTACCCGATGAGCATTACGTGGCTGACGTTTCAAATAAACGGCCAAACGTTGGCCGCAGCACGTCGATAGTTGCAAAATTAACAGCACCAACAGCAATATCCCCAGCACGCTCATCTAACACAAAAACTGTGACACGTGTCACTCACGCTTCATAACACACGTTACAGGAGCATAACGTTCGCCTTGACTAATCTCGACGCAACCGCCACAGGCAGTCACTGAGCCGCACACAAGGGAGACGTACCTCTCCGCGAGCCGCACGCAGCAGCAAAGGGTCCGTGGTATCTTTGCCGGCATCTACCGCCTTCTCCGTTGGCTGTGCGGAAACGGCTGTCGGGGTGATCCGTCGCTTGCCCCGAACCGAGGAGGGCGTGCTTGCTGCTGCTGCCCGCTCGAGCCGTCGGGCATTGGTGGTTACACCCACACGGCTACCGTTGGAGGACAAGGCACACGCAAGCGTCAAACATACATGCACGACGGTAGATTCGGTGAGCTCGAGGAGGCGAAACAAAGACACCCACCGTATGCTACGCGACAAGATTAATCTTGATCTTTGGCGGTAGATGGTTGATTTCGATTTCGCCTACATTACATACACTACATAAATGTTGGTGTTTTTCATAGCGCCACGCAACAGCAGCAGGCAGCTCAACACCATGCCCCCGTGCTGTTGTCGTTGTCGTACGTGACATTCTACAGAGACTGCAGAGGTGGCCTATTTTGCGCTCCAAGCTTCGGGCAGTTGACGGGTGGATAGTTAATTGACACGTGCCGGTACGGGGCTGACATACATAGGAAAAATGCTTGTTGCCAGTAGGACAGCAGGACACGCAGTACCAAGCTAGCCGCATGAATACACCTTTGACGTCAAAATGTCAAATGCTACGGGTTGATTCCTAACAATCCACTGCCCACTTTGATGCTGTGTGGGCATACAAGTAGCAAGCTGGGTGTTGGCAAGCGGGGCAATGACAAGCTAACCCCGGTTAGAGCGGCGCGTTCATGTGCGTGGGGCAGCTTTCCCCCCCAAAATACTCATGGCTTGAACAACGAACACAACAAGTCATAACACCTTCTCAACCGCAGCACCACGGTTGCCTCTACTCGTGTGGATTCGCTGCCAAGTCTACGAGACAACTATGCCGCCTCCAATCAGCGACTCCGAGAGTGTACTGCTGCACCACGCCACATGTGTCGTCGGAAGAGCGGCTCATGTGATGCATGCATTCATTCATGCGTGCAATGGAGACGCGGTCTTCTAACTGCTGCCCGACCAGATGCAACGATGGCCCAGTAAACCAACCACTAAGGATATATGGACGTTATCGAAGCTCTCTCTCTGTTGCCATGTATCTTACCCAGATGTCGTGGTGAAAGCATCGGCACCTCCAGCAGCGAAGAGCGCCACTCCCAGCGCCAAGAGCGAAGAAACCCGTCGTACGGACGTCATGAATATTCTCTGCTGACAGCTGCTGCAACCACAGACTAAGGAAGCCAACGATGGTTTCCAACGCAAGAACCCGAACACCCCAAGGAAGTTAAGTTGAGAACTGGGAGAGGGCGCGGCGAGCTTCCGGCGAGGGTGGTTGAACGTGTCCCCCGATGGATCGGTCCGGGGGGGGCCGAACAAGTAGCACATTGGCGCAGTTGAATATGCTCCACCACTGGTACAATCTGTCGAACCCCCGCCTCGACTCTCTGTGGGCCCAATTTTTTTTTTTCAATGCTCTGCATGCAGCAGATGTTCAACGTTTTATGCTTGCATGGACTACCTTTGTGTAGAGATAGACCTTTCACGAGGGCAGTGGGAAGGTGAAATTCCAGAACATGGTGTGCATGCATGCACGCACTTGACTTGCTCATCATCTGTTTTTTAGCTCCCACGTGTGTGTAGAGTGTAGAGCAAGAGTTTAGACTCGACTACATGCACGGATAATGGGGGGGGGCGTCACATGCGTTTGGTCTTCGTCGTTGCTATCGAGGTGAGATCAAACCCACACACAATCCTTGTCGCGGCCGTCAAGAAGAAATCCATGTCTTCAACAAAGTGTGGGACATTCTCTCACACTACACTACAGCCAACGATGTCAGCAATAGAATAAAGAACCATCGTGGTGACCAACGCGGGTCTCCCATGCAGCTGTCATTTAGTCATTTATGGGCTCTACAAACGAAAAACGTCCTCTGCTCGCAGACTACATGCGCACCCAAATATATTCCACCGTTCATCAACGAGCGCTGCAACACACACCAAAACATTAAACACAACACTGCACCAGACCACACCCAGTCTAGATAAAGAAGCAAAACACACAACGCTACAGGTGCATACTAAACTATCCAAAACGTTCGCATCCGTTCAATACCCAACTAGCCACGGACACACCGGCTAGTGTACCCGGAGATTGTCCAAAAAACGAACTTCTGCTTCGTGGACAAGGGATTGCATCTACTCGGCAAGGCGGATGAGTGTCCCGGCGCCCCCTGGCGTGAACAGTTCCAGCAAAAGCGCATTTCGAACTCGACCGTCGAGAATTATGGAGGCCCCTACCCCGGCTTTGACTGCATCCAACGCGGTGTTGACCTTGGGAATCATGCCGCCGAAAATGGTGCCATCTTCGATCAATTCTTCCACCTGAAACAGAGTATGGAACAAATACGGGACGAAAAAAAAGGCAGACAGAGGTGCAGGTATGTTTACCCCTGAGTATCCACGAGAGGGTTCATTCAATGCTGCATTCTTTCACGGCTCGGAGGTTGAGCATGCCTTAGTGACGGGAGTTGCATTGCCAAGCACCTGCGTCGAGACTGACCATTCTTTCAAGTCTTTAAAACTCGGCGTCGATAAATATCTTGATGGGGAACCAGTGCTATTGTATTGTCAGGAAGACATCAGGGAGTTGTTTTTGGCGAGACCGGGGGGGGGGGAGGCGACGAACGCACATGGCACCGGGGAAACTCAACCAAGCGACGGCCTCAGTCTTGTGTAGGGGGGACATAACCTTTGCAACACTAGCCACCCGGCAACTCACCTTCACCGAGTCCATTTGTGGGAGTAGTTCTTTCTCCTTGTTCAACACCCCCGCGACATCGGTCAAAAGCAACAGTCGGTGTGCCTTTAACGCCCCCGCGATAGCCCCCGCAGCCGTGTCGGCGTTGCAGTTGTACGTCTGCCCCGACTCGTCCACCCCGATAGGAGCGATGATTGGTACGATGCCTGAGCTCACGAGATCCTCGATTACCTGCGGTGATGGAGTAACGTGTCCGAAGAGAGTGGTTGCATCTCTAAAATGAGGACTAAGAGTAGGCGCGTCAATCATAATCATTGTGAGGCACCCCAATTTCGTACCGATATTTTCCATTTGTGCCTCCGACCAACAATATTGATGGTTCGCTACATGCCAAGAACATCAAACCCACTGCAGAACTGACATTTATATCAATGAGTCACGGTTACTTGACACAAGGTCCATCCTGACTAAAAGGACAGCCACTCTGACCACAATAAGGCCATGCCTACAACCCGTTGGCTTACCTCTGTGTTAACGGCAGTAATGTCGCCAACGCATCCAATATCCACTACCTGAAGAACAGGCCGACCACAGGCAAGCGAGCGCGAGGATTAACAGTTTGAGAACGACAGTTGAATTTAGATGCGCGGGGGAAGGCAGTACGTGGTGATCAGGCGCGATCACACCCAGGAGGTTAACTTCTGCTGTCGATACATGAAGGCCAAGACATATGCACAACAGCAGCTAAGTATCTCTATCCACCAGTACTTATGCATATATGTGCGACACGAAGATGCAAACAAGCACCAAAACAAATGCCTCCTGGTCGGAAAGAAGAAATTTCGTAATTTCTATGTACCTACTGGAATATTACACCACCGGATGGAACAGTCCCGCCAGACTTCCGTTAATCAATCTTCCAAAAAATGCTCAGGCAGCCATCGTCGAATGCCACTCTGTTTGCTATTCTTGTCGACCTGGAAATACTCTGAAAAATGACAATCGCCTTCACCTTGACTTCTCCGGTTTCTTCGTCCACAATCTTCTTCCCCAGCTTCTTGGCTATCAGCAGGTTGTCATCCTTTCCACTCAAGCCTACTGCTCTCCCCCCAGCGCGCTTGATGCTGCTCGCGATCCCCTTGTTGATGCTACCGCAAAGAACCATCTCCGCTATTTCTACTGTGGCGGGGTCAGACACTCGCACTCCCTGAAACGTGCGTTCGTCCAAAAGAGCGTTCGGAGGGCGCACCGAGAAAGGAAAAAAACGTCAGCAGCGTGTGTGCAATTTTATTTTCCCCTTCTCGCGCAGCAGGCCACGCTAACAAAGGACGCTTGGAATGTACCGTGTGCAGAACGCAAGCAAAACGATTGGTAATAGAGTGCAGTAGCAGCTCCGCTCTTCATCCGGCACTCTGTCTGTACACCGTAGAAGCGAAACAACCAAACATCTCGAGTCCTGTTCACCGACGGCTTATATAGAAAGCACGTCACGCTAGAATGCTCACCTCAACGAACGACGTAGGGATATCTAGCCTCTTGAGCATTGCGGCGATCTGCGGACCTCCCCCATGCACGACGACAGGGTTAACACCACACTGCAACCGGGCAACACGAGCAGAGCAGGGAGAGAGAACAAGCATATACGTACACTCTATCGTTAGCGCAAGGTACGAGCAGTAAAAATGGGACGCCAGCACGGCACCTAGAGAAGATAGCGTGCGCAAGATAGACGTGGTCGGGATAAACTGAAGTCGAATGCAGCCGGAATCCTGGCGCTCGGGTTCCCTAGCCGCGACATCAGCATGAAAGGCTACTGGAGCATCCCGAGAGAAGAGACGACCATGTTTTCCTCCCTTTATCCATCCTCCGAACATTCTACCAGACGCGCCGCATTGTGCAGAGCATCGCAGACTCACGCCGCCACACCAGTACCATTGCACGTCTCAACGACACCGAACGAATGAAAGAAGCGTTCAGCGATCAATCGACAGCTCATACAACATCGTTCGTTCTGCCGACCGACGAAGGAGGGGCCACACCAAGTACCGCAGCACCTGCTTGAGCATGACCACGTCCTGGGCGAACGAAAGAGACGCCTCTTCGTCTTCCATAGCATGCCCCCCGTACTTGATGACTATGGTTCTGTCTGCGTGGGCTTGTATGAAGGGAAGAGCGTCCGACAAGACCCCCGCGGTCATCGAGTTTCGCTCCAGATCCTGCACGAAACGCACGTGCGGAGGGGAGGTAAGGGTCGGTCTTAACGAAGAAATCAGATCTCGAAATCACATTCAGATTTGGTTATAAGACCGGAAGATCCACAGAACTCTTGCGTTGTGTCGTTGATTGGCTGAAATGTTATGGACCTGTCGAATCTTTAGGACTTAAAACAGGACGACCCAAAACCAAATCGGGATTTGAAAAAAGGTGAAATCATTTAATCGGATCCCGATTTGGGTGAACAGCGTCCATAGTTGCGGGACCACGGTCTACTCGCATACACGGCGCGTACCCACCTACCCCCATCCACACGAACTCCATCCACCGCCGAGCACAGAGGAAAGAAAGAGCACAAAAAGCCAACCCAAAGGGAGGTTGACTGCGCATCGTTGTTGCACGTCTCTGGTGCCGAAAAAAAACGTGTGTGGGATGTGTTGGTCTGTGGGGCAATCTCCCGTGGGTTGTCGAACTTCAAATGCACAGACGAATTGGCGGCTTTCCGTCGGACGAGGCTCGATTCAAAGTGTCACATGCATAGACATCGTGTCAGTACCGCACAGAGGCCATGTACGCGTTTGGTGTGTGCTTGTCGGGAGCGATAGCTCCCCATGTGGTGTGGCCACGTCATAACAGTACGTCAACAGCAATCTGGCAGTTGGCAAGCGGCGGACTTCTCGGGTTGTTCGCGGTGGACTGCAGAGATTCGTTTCCATTTGGCAGATCTCCTGTTAAGACACACAGGCCATTTCTGTCCGGATTTGGGTAGATCCGACTCTTGGTATTCTTATATCGAAATGTGATTTCGAGATCTGATTTCTTCGTTAAGACCGACCCTAACGGCTACGTGAGGTATTGAAACCTTTCTCACATTTCGGAAACGAACATTTTCCGCACCTGATGGGGGGAATACAGTCACGCTGCCACAGCTGATTGCTACATACTTCATTTTTATATTTTTATGGTGTGTGTTTACACAAAAAAGAGTTTGCAACACGAACGGGGGAGAACAGGAGCGGAACGGACGATTCACCAAGCGACGTATGCATAGCTACATAGCTGCTGGTGTTACGCTTTAAACGTCAAGGGGGTGATGGAAAATGGAGATGATTTTGACTGATTTCAAACGCTATTGTACGTACCGAAAGAGCACCCAGCAAATGCACATGAGATGTAATACAAATCCGGTTCGAAAGTGTTGCGCAAGAATATATCCCATACTTGTCGCAGAGAGCAGCGGTTGGGATTTACCTCCGTCTGCACATGACACAGCAGTCTACGCTGTCACCATGTGCTACACTTCTATTTCAGCGTACGTAGTCGGCCAAGTTCGTGGGCATGTGTACAGAAGTAGTCAGTACCCATCCGACAATAACCCACCGATGGTGTACCATCCTCAACCGCGTTCATATGCATAGCATTCGCTTTGCCCGTATGCTGACTCCCAGGCACTCTACCGCCACGGCACACCGCACGTGGCTGCAGGGTGGCACCGGGCAATAGGAAGGCCGACACGACATCCAAACCTGCCGCATCGAGGAAATCGGAGCAAAGCAGGCCATTGCTGGTAGCACTTACTTGGTAGACATTGAGGGGTATTCAGAGTTTCAGAGCTCAGGCGCTCGAGCACACGTCGCCAGACGAGTCACCTTGCCGGGGTCTGCCGTCTACCGGTCCGTAAAAGTGCGGTACAATATATCATCGGCATCGGTGAACATGGGGTGGTGGCGTCGTCATGACCGAATATCAGAGCAATGTGCGAACGCGACACAGACCATCCACACAAGTACAGCAGAGGAGGACACGCGGCTGTCGGAGGACATCCTATGTCAGAAACCGCCTGCAACGATTTGCGTGCAAGCATACCCCTCCGCAACCTGTATGTACCCCACGTTGGTCCCAGGAAATCATCAACAACACGCGATCATGCACAATGGCCCCTCCCAATGTATGCGTACATCCTGCACGTGCATCGTGTTGCCCACAACACACCTCAAAGATGCACGTCTATGTAACATGACTCACCAAACGTCGATACGATAACTAGAAACGCGATCGGTAGCTTCATGCTTGGCTTGGGTGTGGAAAGGCGCCAGCGTAACAGCAGCGATGATCATCTGTCATGTGATGCATGAGATGACTCTGAGGGGCACAGTACGGGGATTTTCGGGGGGGTGGAGTATCGATTGCGTTACTGTACCCCTGGAATACGATCCTTTCCTTGACACGATCCTTCATGCCTTGGATCCTTCCTTCCTGTTGCTTCGGTGGCTGCATACGATCTTTTGGCCTATAATTCGCCTTAGAGGGCAGAGAGGCTGTTTCGCCTGCTGCCCCTGCAGCTTTCTTGTAGCGCTGCTTGTGCGCAACATGTCGCAAGAATCATCGTCAGTAACCACTGCCGAGTCTGCCGCCAGCGGTTCGCGGAGTACCAGCTCGACTCCTCCCGCTCAGCAGCAGGCGCCAGGGCAGCGGCGCGTTCCCATATTTCAACCAATCGATGCCGACGACGCGCGAGCTAGGGCTGCGGTAGAGCAGTGGCGCACATTCACAATGCTGCTGGAGCCGCAGGTACGGCGCTTACGGGGGCGAGACGCTGTAGTAAAAATAGGACTCGAGATCGAACTTGCCACTGGCTCTCACGAGTGGAACAGCGCGTTCGCTCCGTCTGTACCTATTGAACGTGCCTAGAGACTCGTAGAGCCACAGGATCACATGGGATGACTCATTTGTGGATGCTAATACAGCATACGACACCCACAGTGCACACGCCGATACATGGAGGACCGCAGGCTCACAGTTCACAGTGTCACGCGACTGTTTCACACTCCTCCCATCGGGCCACACGCTTGCACGTCATGACAATGAAATGCAGCCGGGGTCGCAGGAGGCAAGCAGCGTGTGTGACCAGATCACAGAGCTGGCTATCGGAAGAGAAGAAGACGACAACAACGCAACATCTTTCACGGTTCTTACCAAAGTACGTTCAATGTTGAACAGCCATTCGGTGCTGCTGTGTGCGTCTTTCGTTTATTCTTGAAGTGGTAGTTCTACAACGCTTGTCATGTTCATGGGCCGTTGTTGTCTACTGGATCCAAGGTGTCGTGCACATCCGCAATCTTTCCACCTATTCAGCGACACCAAACACTTTCTCTCTGTAGACAGCTGCCGACTTATGTAGTCAATGCTGTTCTAGGGTGGCTTGTCGGTTGCTGTGTCCAAGGTTCTTCTGGTAACTGTGGCGCACTGGCTCACTCAAAGGTCCCCACGCAATTTGGCAGGAGTCCTTGGCCGAAATGGCGAAACAGAACGGGATATCAGGCAAACGAGCGCTGGCTCAGGCGCTGGTGTGGAGAATGGCAAATGATAGAGAGGAGGGATTGGCTTCGAAGAAGAACAAGTTCGTCCAAGATAACGAGAAGAACATCGATCTCAGGTGCGACCTCCGTTTCGTTTCAATCGTGGCCTCCCTCCACGGTAATCTCCCAAGCACAACCTACACGGTATCTCGCATGTGTCCGCCCGCAATAATAGTTGTTCCAGGGGATGTATTCCATACCTCGGTCGAGGCAGCTATAACCCTGGTGCATTTTTTAGTGTAAGCACAAGTGTGACGCACAGATTGACGTTGTGACTGCTTGGTGCATGGATGATAGGGACGCCGACAGCGAACCCATTAACGATGGAGATCGGGGGCTTGAGAGGCAGCAGAATACCGAAGGTGGCCTCGACAAGATCGAGCACGAGAGCGCTACAGAAGGAACCGTTCGCAGCAACCACAAGGACGGGGCCGAGGATGATGAAGAGGAAGACCTGGAAGACATTGCTAGGAAGCAGGCGGAGAGGTGCCGCTTGATTTCTGGCACATGCCTGTCAAGTTGCAAAGCACAGTCCAACTTTCAATAATAGCATTGCTGTAATTTTTGTTCTGATCAGCACTTCGAATTTCGTCACAAGGGGCGATCGAAGGAGCCGTCAGGAGTATTGCTCCCCCTCGTTGATATGTCGCGTAGGTCGTGATATTCGGTGCGTTACCCACATTGATTGACCGCCACCAAATCAACAATCCAACGCGGCTGAAGCAGGCTGTATCCACCCTGCTCTTGACAGGGAGAAGGCGAAATTGGAACTGAGGGCCGCACGCTTGTTTACCACTGTCGATGATGACCTTGGAGCTCCGGACAGGCAAGCCGAGGATAGTTTTACGTACAATAGCTTCGATTGGTATCCAGAACAAAGGGGGAGGGGGGGGGGGGCGTACTCATTTGTTGCTTGCCTTATTCATTTGACCATTGACCACGCGTCCCTTTCGAGACGGAGCACCGTTCCTACCCTTACTAGAGACACCACCAACATTTGGGAGCTCTTTACGTTTCTGCCACAAACTACATAAAAAAATTTCTTGCACATCTTATCCCCGTCCTCTAGGGCCTCTTGTGCCCACCATCTATCCCCAATTATCGCGATCGTTTTTTCGCTGTTGTCTAATTTACCAAACTTGTCCATGTCACACCCTCTCTGTCTCATTTCCTCCTCGAGATCCTCTCTTTCCTTCCTGTACAACTCACACTCCCCAACTATGTGGGGTCTACTCTCCTCCGATTTGCCACATGGACATGTGTGTCTACCCTCCTCTTCCTCTCTCCTACGGCTGGTATACCTCTTCCTCCGTTCTGGCAAGTCCAGATCGCCTACTCGAAATTGCAATTTCAGCTTTTTCGCGTAGTCCATGGGGCCGTCCAAGTACGTCTTCATCCCTATCCCTTCTTTCAACTTCCCGTATATCTCCAAGTGGTCTTCGCTTCGTACCTTCTTCCGAAGGGTTGCCTCCTCCCTACTTTCTAGCATCTCCTTGACTTTCGTCTTGAACCCCCCGAACCCTTCCGTGTCCAACGTCTCCTCCTCGTCTCCTATCTCCTTCCAAACCTTCTCTACCACCTTGTCCCATCTGATTCCCTGGAGTCGCTTTTCCCCAAGCTGCCTTGTCAACCATGGCTGGTAGTCTATCGTCCGACATTCTACTTACCTTGTACTGCCAATTCAACTTCTGCATGTCTCTCTTTGTTTTAAGAGAGTACATTCCCATTTCTGCTCTCAATACAGGGTTGCTCGTTGTACTTGAACATCCTAGTATTTTCTTGGCCGCTGCCATCTGCACCGTTTCCATCTGCGTGACGGCCTTTTCGTTACCTTCCCATACCTCTCCTGCATACTCTAGCTTACGTACAATCACATTCAAGAGAATACACCTCTTAATCCTAGTGTCTAGGTGTGGGTCCGTAAGGATCTTCCATCTTGCCTATCTGATCTTTACCCTTCCCAATCAACTTTGCTATGTGTGCGTCCCATGAGCACTCCTTCGAAATCTCTACTCCCAGGTACGTATACTTGTCTACTACCGGTAGTTCTTCCTCCCCCCATTTCCATTTGAATTATACGGGATTTTTCTTGTCTTCGTTACAGACCACTACTGCGCATTTTCCTACGTTCGCCGACAGTCTCCATTTTCGGGTGTATCCTACCGCCGCATCTATTTGTTCTTGCAACCCTTCTGGTGTTTGGGATACCCCCACGAAATCATCTGCAAACATCAGTCCGGACACACTCTTTCCCCCCAACTTGGACTCCCTGTCTTACTGATCAACCGCCCTTATCAAATCCTTGATGTA